AAGGAAGATTCTGAAGTGATTGATTTATCGGAGCTTACACTACTCTCACTACCTAGTCTGCATCCAATCATTGGGGCCATCCAATCACCAACACTCTGCACTCGTCCAATCATCCTACTCGTCTAATCACTGGTGGCGTAATCAACGTACCATAATCATCGCGGGATCGTGTTGGACAGGTTCGGGAACCGGTATATACCATCAGGAACCGGTTACCCTCAATACACTCGGTACGCACATCACGCGACTCGCGCACTTGTAACTCCGAGATAATATCTAATAGCGAGGCCTCGGCAAGAGTGACCCTTGGCTGATTACGCGAGTCGTCACGTCGAACATAATCACGGTCTCATCTCTCGCGGCGGTACCCATCACGCTGCCCATCACTTCTGCGGTCATCACGTCGTTCGTCACGTCGGCGGTAGTTGTCACGACCACGCGAAGGGTCGCGACTGCGTTGACTTGACGAAGGTGTGTCACTTGGCGTGTAACGGCCTTCCATCTTCAGGATCTCGTTGATCATGCCCTCAAGTTCGTGAATGTCACTCACTTGGAGGTGGCCCAGACGTGTTTGGAGACTCTTATCGCTACACGTCTTCAGGAATCGTCGCACGTGGTCTCGCCCTTCTCTGCCACCATTAGCAAATCGGACACCAGCGTTTCTCGTGTAGCCGTTGAGACGGTTCAGATAATAACAGATGTGTTCCTTGGTGTCAGTACGTTGTGCAGAGTAGTAGCGTGTTTTTGCTGATTCGTTGAATTGCGAGCAGTAGTAGCTGATAAACTCCGAATTCAGTGACTGCCAGTTTCGCTGCACCTTCTTTGGGAGTTGCCTGAACCAATGCAAAGCTCCATCACGCAGACTTAGCTGGAAAGGTTCGCACCATCTGGTGGTAGGCGTACGCGTGCCTTTCATCTCGTAGACGAAAGCTCGGAGCCATTGCACCGATTTTTCTTGCTTGCCACGACAACCATGGAATGGCTTGATCTGAGCGAGAGGTCGGTGAGTAGCGAGCTCAATTGTTGGCGTCGCATTTGTATCGTCCATGCAACTCGCTTCTTGGATTTGACGCGCATATTCAGCCGCTAGGTCATCACCATCCCCTATGAATCCGGACAGATCGTCATCATCATCAGAAGAGTCGTCGCGACCAGACAACCGCCATCCAGGATGTCGACTAGAGCCATGTTGTGTGCTCCGTGTCGGGCGGGAGTGGTCATTCTCGCGACTAAGACGAGCGGTACGGCTCGCTGAGCGTGGCGTTACCATATGCGAATCCTGGAAGTACGGCGAGCGCTCGGCAGATGCAGCAAATGTAGCATCTGCCTGTTTCTCGCGAGCACTTGACCCCGTACCTTTCTTGGGAGTCTGTGGGAGTGGGATCTGGGACGGGTCAATAATATCACCGGCTTGACGAGCCACTGGCTGCCGTCCGGCACTCGAGTTGGTAGCTCCGAAGGCCATGCGTAGTTTCTTTTTCCACTTCTGCAAATCCGTTCCCGCTTCCGACGGTGACCAGTCTCTCATGGCAGCTTCCGTAGGATACGCCTGCGCTTCGCAACCCATCGCCATCAGAAGTGACACCGTGTCTTCAGCAACTTGGCGAGTGCTCGTTGAGTTCACTGGCCAGGCTAACTCATTGCTGATGTCAACCTAGCGTGCTTGACGAACGGAGGCCGGTGCAAACATAGGGATCCACGCACCCTCCGTCATCATCATCTCCATACACCGCCCTAGAACCTTGTTAGCAATTGGGGTGTCTCCGTTGAGACGAGGGCGGTTGCCCCGACGCTTCATAGCGTCCTTTTCCCGTGTTCCGGGGTAACTTGGACACATCATCATCACCATCATCATCTGGATAAGTTGGCTCCGGTCCTGCGACCTCGTCCAGCTCATCCACCAAGTTGAGCGCAAGAGACTTCACTCCACCACTGCGAGTCGTCGCCACCATCGCGCCTTCAGGAGTGTCCGGCGTTGCCATCTCCGGCACTGCCGCCTTCTCCTCCTGGTCATCATAATCATCTGCATCTTTATCATCTTCCTTGGTGTCCAGATCGTATGCCGCATCATCTTCAAAACTGACCGAGCGCTCGGCAATAGTTGCCATGCGCGGGGTATCCGGAGGCGAACTTGAGTCGCCGTCGCGTGCTCCACTTGACTTCGTCGGCGTAGCTGGTACCGTAGTCGACCTTTTCACCATCTTCTTCTTCTCTCACTTCTTCTCTCACTTGGGTTTTGCTCATTAACTGGGGGACCTGTAACACAAGTCACAACACACAGAAGGTCAACCACCAATCCCGGGTCGCGGCACCAGTTGTCGTGTAGGAACACGTCAGAATTTTGCGTCTGCTTGGTACTCCCACCCACAACACACGCTAAACCCGCAAAGGCTCAGCGAAAGTTCGGGCGAAGCTTCGACCTGAAGGCCTTGACTCTGCCCTAGCACCGGGTTGATGATTAGACTCTGCGCGCTCCGACTCGGTCGGTAGGTCCACCGATATCTTCCAAAGCAGCGACTAGTCCACGAGCAAAGACTAGGCTGCTGTCACGCACACACTTGCAGTAACCTCGCTGGCCCTCAGTAGGGAAGGGTCCAGGGCTTGTTCAGCCGGTAAGCGAGGGCGGCCGGAGCTTGAGTCTATCGGCCTGATGGTATTATTGGAGGCTCTTCTTCGCACTCCACAGGGGTCGGACGCAGTCTCGTCCTCAACACTTCGGCACAGCACACGGTCTTCTCCTTCACGTCTCTTGGCTTTGCCAGGGTGGGCGAACACGTTGATCTTCTCAGCCAGCGTGTCCACCAGCAGGCATAATCCTATCGATCAAGCTTGACCTGTCGCTACGGTCACTTACCGCAGCCGGACTTGACTTGTGCGATCGGGAGGAAAATCTGCTCTCTTTGTTGCGCACAAAGGCGCTTATCTTCTTATCTACTCTTTCCTATGTCATATACAAATATCTAGTGTGAACTTGTCCGTTATGGATGAGATCTGGTAACCAACGAGGTGTCGGCGACTGTTGGGCGAGGTCTCAAGGAGTCGCCATCCGGATACCATCCGGTTACGACCAGTCGTGTCCAACGGCCAACCAGTGGTGTGCGCCACACTGCCTCGTACTAATGACTGTCACTTCACTGCGGGATCTGATGAGCCAATCACCAATCGGCCACACATTTCACAAATCTGATCCGTGTCAGTCTCCAACGGCAGCAACAGCAGCAGCGGCGAGAGCGCCTCCGATTCTGGGCGCTTCCCGACACCACAGTAGGCTCTGCTTCCTCAGCCGACAGTGCAGTCGCTCCACGCCGTCCAGAGCCCAGTAGCTTCACTCGCTAGTCCTCCGTCCGTTCTCCGCTCGTATCTCGCTTCGGCTGTCGCGAACCCCGCCACTCTCCGGGTTGTTGCGCGCTCTGCCAACTTCCAAGTGTCACGTGAGCTGCCCCACGTCAATTTCTTAGTTGTCGCGTACTCCGCCAATTCTCAAGTGAGCTTCAGAACCTCGCTCCTCGACTCGCCCTCACTCGCCGTATACGTAGACGCCAGCACGCTCTCAAATCCCGCCTCGAGGTAGTCTTCGCAGTCGCCACCATCCAACGCCGACTCACTACGCGTCACCGCGTCACCATGCTTATCCAGCACAATACCTACCGCCTACTACAACAGAGTAATCAATAGTTATGATTTCTTATACTTTACTTCAAATATGTTTGCTACCACCGATAGAAATAATTGGGCGGCAAACGCCGCGCCATGACGCCACACGATAAGGCGGGCAATCGCCGCGCCAAAATAAGTATCTTTGAGTGACAAGTTGTGCTGAAGTGATCGACATGGCATGTTTCTCTGAATGCAAATCTGTGGCCCTTCCCACGCGCCATTCTCCTTAAAGTCCCCCCCCCCCCCACAAGCAAGCAATTACTGTAAAAAAAAATATCAATGTAGCTATTACAAACTGGTAGGGACAGGTTACAAATTCTACAATTTTGTAGTACATGTAGTTTGCTGGGGGGGGGGGGGACTTAATTCCTACCCGATTCTGATACTTCGAAGCATTTTTCTTAGGGGACTGTAAAAAAGCAAAGCGTTAATTGAGTTTGCCAGAGGTGGTCACGAAGAGATCTCACTACTGTTGAGTGCATGTGCTAAACCTCTGCTGTTGTGGAGAACCACTTGAGATCCCCTTTGTCGCAAAAACTATTAGTAATGTTGGTGTGGGCCGTCTTTGGCGATAATGCACGTCACAGCATGATAACGCAGGGTGATCGGCTACCAACAGACGAGAGCGAATGCACAAGCTATTAATAAAGAATAGGCTCTTGCAAAAACATGTGCCAAGCAGTGTGTACTTTTAAACGAGATAATACGACTAGTTTTGCTGACAAACAGCCTTGCCCCTAATGATGCCCAAGAAAGCGGTTACATGTACATTCGTGCTCCCCGTATTCGCCCCTGGCTAAAACTTTTATAACCATATTTTATCGCTAGGATTTGTAAAAGTCCTATCATTAGTTACTGCAAGTTTGTTTGGTTCTGACTTCTGGTGAGGTCCACTCTGGCGAGGACAACTGTACGACATAACGTAACATTCATAATAATAATCGCATCCTTCGATTGTTCTCATGCTGTGTTGCAATTGTTTACCCACTCTGTAATAGACTCATCAATGCAGCATGTTCCTGTCCAGAGCTGACTTTTTAAGTGGTTGTCCTCGAATAAACCTGTGCGAACCAACGATAGTTTTGGTCATATGGTTGGAATTATCTGCACTATGCTACAGTAGCAGCCACTTTTCCGCTCTTCTACTTCGTGTCCTCGTGTTATGAGCCTCCCAAGGAGCGAACAAGCCGTATTAGAAGCCACACTTGGTTATTCTCCAACTTTCCAGCTGAGCAGCAATCGGACAGTCCCCCTTATCTCACTACTCAGCAAGGAAGTACACCACTCCTAAAGCTTAGCAACTGACACTGAAAGATGAAGTTCTTCTTTCCGACTTTAGTGGCGTCGGCGCTGTTGATGTTGTCGGGCAACACGGACGCTCTAAATGTGAAAATGCACGGCGTGAACTACAACTCGCGCAAGGGTCCGGACTGGGCTCCTGACAGCTCCAAGTGCAAGTCCGCGTCTGAAGTGCAGAAGGACATGTACGCACTTAAGGGCATCACTGACCGAGTGCGCATCTACTCGCTTCTCGACTGCAACCAAGCCGAACTTGTGCTTCCTGCTGCCAAAAATGCTGGTTTGCAAGTGCACCTCGGCATCTGGACGACTAAGAGCCACGACTACCTTCTGAAAGAGAAAGCTAAGCTTGCCTCTCTCATTGACTCGGGCCTGTATGACAACAACGTTATTGGTCTGCATGTCGGTAGCGAAACCATCTACCGCAAGGAGATTACCGCTGACACAGCGATCGGCTACATGAACGAGATCCGCAGCTACATCCGAAGCCGCGGTAAGAACACTCCCGTCACCATCGCTGATGTCATCGACATTTACTATGACTATCCACAGATAGTCGATGCGGTCGATTACATCTCCGTCAACGAATTTGCCTATTGGGAGGGTGTCGACGTGAACGAAGGCGCGGCTAAAACGCTTGATCGTATTCGTGCTATCCGAGTGACGGCTGCGAAGAAGAACAAGCGTATGGTTCTCTCTGAGGTTGGATGGAGCTCGGGTGGCTACAACGCTAAGACCGGTGTGTCTACTCCTGCCAACCAGGCCAAGTTCTTCTCGGATTTCTTTCAAGTGGCCCGCTCGAGCAACATGGAGTACTACTGGTACACTGCGTTCGACTCGCAGTGGCGCGTGACCAATGGCGGTGAAGATGTGGAGGCCAACTTTGGTGTGTTCAAGGAGGACGACAGCATGAAAAGCAACTTCCAGCAACTGACGATCGGCTGGAAGGACCCGCGTGCGATTCGCAATGCTGGTTCGAACCGGTTGCTGTCCGAAAAGGATGCCGGTCTGTACATGTCGACCAAGTCGAATGACTGGCTGGTGAAGGAGCAACAGACGTGGTTCTTCGATTCGACTACCAAACAGATTCGCTCGAAAAGCGGTGATCGCTGTCTGGACGCGTATCAGCCCTGGGACGGCGGCATTGTACACGTTTACCGCTGCATGGACAACGAAGGAAACCAGAAGTGGACGTACGAGAGCTCCACCGGAAAACTCAAGCACGCGACGCACCAGGGTTTCTGCCTGGATACGGACCCTGCTCAAGGCAACAAGGTGCAGCTCTACGGATGCTCGCCGAACAACCCGAACCAAAAGTGGGTCATCATCAACCCCGCCAACATTTAAAGTGTCAGCAGGGATGCAGTGACTCACCATTGCGCTTAATCGAAAACTACAACAAATGAAATGTTTGTGTGAGTCGATGCAAATGTTGCTTTGTTGCAAATCTTCGGTTGTTTAAATTGTGCCTATGGCTGATTTCCTGTTCCTATTGCAATATTCGAGCTTCCAGCCGCAGTGGGGGTTGCATTCTCTTCTTCACTAACATGTTTACGACTCATGAGTACGGTGCAATATGCTTGTAGTGACTTTTTTCCGCTGCTGAGCACCAAGTCCCGCGTTTCATGCAACGCAGCGATCTCACGTTTGGTATCTCGCTGCTCCTTCTGAATCTCTCGTATACATTTCTCATGTTGTCGCTGCGCTTCAGCTGCATAGCCCTTCTGTGCTTTTCGTCGGTAGCTACAGCAAATACGTGATCATACCAAGTTAGTCTTATGCAACAACCAATGATACCAATCAACACGTACAATTTGTGAAAGGTTTCTTCACCGCCGACGGCACAGTCTGCCGAGGGAGTTGTTCGAAGAACAAAGCTGGCCTTCTGGGCATTCATCGTTGGCGAGCGGAAGTATTGTTTCATCAGAGGACTCAACTGAGACGCATTAAAAAGAGCACGCTGTTGATGACGTCGAAGTCGAGGCACAGCACCAAAATCGTCTTGATCATCCAGATTGGCGCTGTAGATTGATGTCACCGGGGGTTCTAAAATCTTCGCAATGCTGTTGTCGCCAGTCGCTAATTTCCCAAGATATGAAGTCTCACTAGCGGACTTTGCGAGAATTTGGGCGGTTTGAGGCGATAAAAGTCTTGGCAGGTGTGATATGTCACCATTCCTCGCGGATCCATTTCCAGCATCAGAAATCGCCCCTGTAGAAGCTGAAGCAGTTAATTTACCCACGGGTTTTATCCTGATACCTATATCGTCCACCACTTCTTCTGGAAAGTACTGTCGTCTCATGGACTGCACGGATGCTGGAGTCATCTTAAGACCAAGTAGCAATTGACAAACGAACAGATAAACATCGTTCTTGAACTCGGGCGAGTATAGATGGCGGGAACCTGGAAAGAGGTAGTAGAAACCCGAGCAGATACCACTGGCAATAGCGTACGGGTAAACACGAAACAGATAGTCCATACTTCCACGCAGCGCAGCAACCATCTTAATGTACTTTGCGCTGATTTCATCTGCTAGTGCTCTCTGTTGTGCCAGTGACTCTTTCTGATAAAAGTGGCAGAAAACCAGCCAAAATACCTCCTCAAAGAGGGCTCCGGAGAGTTCGGACAACAGGAATCGCTTGAAATTTCGCCGTCCATGGCTAATATGAATCCTCTCAAAGGTGTGTACCAGTAGTAGGGTAGTGTTCATGTAAACGTTACCTCTCGAACTCGCCCCTCCAATATCTCCGTCATTTACCCCGTATACAAAACTTTCCACCGTGCGGGTGATGTGGCCTTCAACGCTGGCTTGCAATTGCTTCTCGATCTGGCCGCGCGCGTTGCGTTTGTTATCGCCCTTGTGCACCTCCAGCTTCTTCTTTTTGTGCAGTTGCTGGCAAGTACAATGAATGGTTAAACAACAACTTTTGCTTAACTACCCACAATGGATCATAGCTTACCGTGTGCGTTTTCGTTTTCTCATCAGGTCCAAAAAGCCGCTCTAGCATGGCTTGATTGCTCGCGAGAGTCGTTGACGAGATGGCTCGGCTTTTGGCTGCCGCTGCTCCTCGACTTTCCAGCATATCCACAAGTGGCGGGACCATCTTGGAGCAGTAGTCCGAATTAACACGCAGGTCACACTCGAGTCCGTGCTTACGATTATTTGCTGGTTACATTGGCAAATTATATCAGTGCCAGCAATTCACACCCAAGCTTATGAGGACTCCGCACCTGTCGTCTGCAGTGAATTTAGGCGTGCCGAGATGATACCGATCATTTGAGCTGTAATTGCCTCCTTTTGGTGGAGAGACTGCTTCACCTCGTGCTCATCGTCTTCCGTCCATGCGTTCCCTCGCTGTGCCATCCTTCTTACAGTTCCACCTAACAGCGCAGCAAAATTGAGTTTGAAAGCTATTTATACTACTGCAAGCCCGTATCTAGCGAATCTACAATTATGTCGATGGTGGACTCTATTCATGCATGATCAACTCGCTCGAACTCACGGACATTGCAATTTACCAGGTTCACGACCTTAAAAATGGCATTGCAGGCTTTTAGCGTCTAGTTCTCAGTCCCACAGTGGGTCATTCATCATTTTGAGATCTTTCTCTCGCTTTCGACTGCGCTGCAGCTTCTGGACCTGAATTAAATAGGTTTACTACTGATTACTACTTTGCTCACATTCTCTCACACGTTTGCTGTACGTACCGCGAATCGAAGCTTTTGTTCGTGTTCACGGTTGCTTTCCTCAAGCTCCTCTACCTTTGCTTGGAGGACAGTCACTTGTGGATTAAAGTACAAAGCTTCGTGGAGTTGCTCCTCCAACTTGCTCCTTTGTTCGCGGTATTTTTGACGAACTTCGTGCTGTTAAGGATATTTCAACAAGATAATCAGCGATTTTACGCAAGTGGCTCAATGTGTCCCCATTTTACCTGCTGATGAATCAGTTGCGCAGCAATTTTCTCTCCAAGCTCTGCCACCTCGTTGCACTGACTTCTGAGCGTTTCCTGTTGCTCCAGAAGATGAAGTAGCAGTTCATCTTTCTCACGGGGGCCGATTTTCTGTAGCATCGTTTTCAAGTCAGGCAATACAATGTCATCATCTCGCTGGGAGTTGTTGTCTTGCTCTTGATGCTGGTTTTTCTCACGTTGCCACAGGTTACGCAGTTGGGTAGCGAGATCGTTGGTTGAAGCCGCCGATATTGGAATTTCTACACTTGCACTGGTATCATCGCTTGGTGTTTCTTCGGATTCGTCTGTACCCTGTTGGACTGTCCTGGCTTGAAGAGCAGTGTGGGCTTCCATTGCTCGCTGCAGACGGAGAGTAGCTGGGACCTGTTTGCGAGACAACGAACGAAGAACGAAAACATTCACCATGTTACAAGTCTCGTGTTGTTGGCGATGGTGAGTAAACTTACTGGCTGCCGTTCACCAGAACCATTACTACCGCTGAACGACGAGGAGCGCGAGTGTGCTGGCATTGCTCTTCTCGACGGTGAACAGAACTATGAATGAAAAGTCGCAACCATTTTGATAACGACTTTCTGTGAATATTGGAGAACTTAGCACTTTGCACCTTGCTTGTACTGTTGGCAGGTTATACACGCGTGCCACGCAACAAAAGATTCATTTATCTGGGTATCCCACTGAATGGAGTAAGGCCACTTTCAACCTTGGTGTCCAATAAGCAACTTTCTTGTGTTTGTCGAGGTACATGTAAGTTGTACCGTACAACTTGCAATCATCCTCTGAATCTTTGGCAATTTGCAATGCAATCGAATTCGAGCCCGCTCGCAATTCTATCAGCGATTGTGGAGCCTGTAAATTGGAGTCGAAGCAAAATCGTCAAGGTGACCTGTGGCGTGATTCTATCATGAAGCGTCGCTATCAGTTGGCATTTGGCTGTCATGAACCAAAGCGAAGAACTAAAGGGAAGGGCCAAGTCTGCAAGCGAGTTAAGGGAGGAAGATGTTTTAGCTACGACGCAGATCGGTATGACGGCGACGCGCAGCAAACTTGAAAAGCTCATGAGCAGCTTCACGACGTTCGACGACGTCATGCGCATTGGAACGCGGGTACATTCTGTCGAAGGAAGCAAAGTTGTGAAGTATAGCTAACTGAGCATTTTGTGTCTACTTCCTTAGCAACGTCGCGAGAAAGATGAGTACCGCTTAGCGGAAATGCGGCAGGAAATGAATCGCCTAGAGAATAAACTCGAGGCGGAGATCAAGAAGCGGATTGAGATGAACAAGTCGCTGCAGAATTACTGTGACGAGCAGGTGGTTCAAATGACTGCGTCCTTTGAGAAATTGCTAAGCGATCGCGCAAAACAAGTCGATGATCGACTCGACATTCTCACTCATGAAATAGAAAACCTTCAGGCACTTGTAGCCAAAGAAAAACACGATATCCCGCTTATGATCGAAAACAAGACCAATGAGCTGACGCAGAAGCTTATCGCGTTCATGGATTCGTTCGAGGATGAACGCCAGCGGCGCACAAACCAGGAAGCAATGATTCTGAAGCGCTTGAGTGATCACGAGCATGCAACTGCTGAAAGTTTCGAGCGTGAGCGGGTAAAGCAAGATTTAGCTGGTGTAAGAATTCGGTGCTAATTATCCTTTTCGATCATATCATAGCGTGATCGTGAATTGAAGTATTCCGATCTGAAGAACGCGCTGGACACGTACAGCTCTACTCGGATACGCGGTGACGAAAAGTTCCACGCGTTCGCACAGGAAGAGATCGCAAAAATTCAAAATGCGCTGGTCGCTGAAGCACAGGCACGAAAAACTTGCGTAATTTCGTGACCTTATTCCGCGGTACTAACGCAGGTTTTTACTATTGCCAGGCTCGAGAGCGCGAAGACGATGAAATCGTGGAAGCTCTCAATCGCTACACCGCCAAGCTGCAAGACAGTCTCAAGGTGATTACGAGTCCAGACGCGTAACATCTTTGACTAAGACACGCATTGCCATAACACTTATCAATGCGTTTATTTGACGGAGCCGCGAAAGTAAATATCCTGCTTTTAAGCATACAAGCATTTACTCCGTCACAACGTTTTCCCTCGAGAGCTTTAACTTTTGGATAAAAAAAGACAAATATTTAAAACTGAGAATACCTTAACCCTGAAAGGAGTAATTCCACAGTACTGCGTAACTCGCTTGATGTTATCTCCATTCAGCTGACATCGAAATATAAGCTGAACGTAGAGCTAAAGTGGCATGTTTAAAGCATCCGTTGGGTTATCCGTACCTGATTGTTAATTAAACACTAACGGTCTTTGATCGTGAACTCTCGCAGGGTTACTAGCCACACATTTTCTCTTCGTGGGCGTGTTGAAGTCTAAGCTGCTTGGACTCGCAAGGACTTAACATCTGCCGTGCATCTGTGCGGGGACATTTGGTGATCTAAAGAAGCGTCGCGATTACTACTATGTCACTTCTAAAGGTTCGTGTGTATAATTGGTAACGCAACACCATCGAAATAAACAAGTATAAACTAGCCCAGAAGGCAACCTTAACGCAGATTACCAAATCTTTAAGAGGAAATACCTTGAGAAACACTAGCAGATAAAACTTTTTGTGGCATCCGTTCATCATTGCATTTTTCTGTCGGCTTAATCTAGTTTACCCTTACAGATTGTATCGCACCACGAGCCGTTGAAGTCTGGGAAGCAAGCTTTGACACTCAAAGATCAATACAAGGCTAACTTAAAGAATGATTTACTTGTACTAGCCGCAGGATTACCGCACTTGCAAGATGGTTTGCAGAGGCAAGTTGAGATTAAAATTACATTTTTTATCTAGAACCTAACATCTCTAAAACTACGCGCTTGATCTATTTCGTCGCTTCGCTTGGGGCTGATTCGACCCGTGAACAGCCTACGAGCGCTTGATAAAAATGTGCAGCACTAAAGACTCCATGTACGTTTGGAAAAATATCTGAAGGATATCATTTCATACCCGACTGGCTTCCTGTAATCTGATTCGAGCTTTACCACACGGAGTTGGCCCCTCGAATGAAGTTTGGGATTTGTGCTGTGTGTCAAAATTTGTTGGACTGTCGGTCTTCAAGGAGTGTAGAGCCTGCGGAATAAGGGTTCTACTAACAGATAATATTGTACTATGTACATTCAACTACGCATGTGACTGAATCTAGTATCTATTTCAAATATCTGTCACTACATAAGAATAAGTGTATTCCCAGCTCAGTCGATCTCGTAAAATAAATGACGCGTAGATTACCGACGGAAATATATTTCTTGCACTATTTTTAAATTGCTTGGTCCATTTTAAATTTCATGCGCACAAAATAAAATACCATCGCATACCGACGCAAACCGACGCGGGTCCCGCGTCGATGTATGGGAAGTTAAATTAGAGGCATACTGAAACCAAGATGCGGGTCCCCGAAAAAAATAGTCCCGTAAGAAAAATATATTGCAATCTTTGGCAAACGTTATGCCAGCAGAGCAGCAGGACGATGGCGCTCCGGCGGGCTTGAGCTGCAGCGAGCGACGCTTCTTCGAAGAGCGCGAGCAAGTGCGCGAGCTGCTACAGAAGCTGGCGCAGACGCGGCTCCCGACGCCACAGAGCGACGTGGACCGCGAGTTCCTGGCAGCCCACTCGACCGTCTCGCAGATCGTACGCTCCTGCTGGTTCTTTCTCCTCACTACGTACGACGCAATTTCACCTCTAATCGTCCTCTGATCATAGCTGGACAGATATTTAGAGCAGTCACATCTACTGGACCCTTATCTACGCGAAATGCTGCACCCGTTAGTGACGGAAATTAAGAGGGTGATGGCCGAGAGGACCCAAACAGCCGAGACTGAAGATGCGGTGGCCTTCCCGTGTCAAGTATACCGAGATCCGAGACTGCACAAACTGTTCCAGATCGTATATCAACTTTGCAAGGTCCGCGGCTACAAGACCATAGTCAAGCTGCTACCCCACGAGGTGAGCGACTTTGAGCCGACGCTACAGTTGCTGCAGTCACAAGATCGTACTGATCACTCGGCGTGGGAGACACGCTACGTGTTGCTGCTGTGGCTCTCGATGTTGTGCCTCGTACCTTTTGACTTGAATACCATCGACTCGTCCTCTCCCGGTGCCATTGAACATGGCAATGGGACCATCTCTCTCGTCTCCAATATCGTTACGCTCTGTAAGGATTATCTCAGTGATCCAGGGGCTACACAGGTTGCGGCTGCAGTGTGTTTGTCGCGGCTATTGAGTCGACCAGACATGGAGCAGCTTTACTTAACCCAATTCCTCAATTGGGCAAACCGAGAGCTCATCACTGCAGTTGAAGGAAGCGATACGCGCGTGCTGCAGTTCAAAGTGACAGGAATCATGCTCTGTTTGGCTCATATCGCCAAGAACTCGCCGCGTGAACAGCATATCGAAGCCAGTCGTATCTATTTCGCCACTGTTATGAAGCTGGTGGCGCATCTTACAGAGAACAACTCACGATCGGACCGTCCAAGCAGCAGCACATTGCATCGCAAGCTCAGTGTGAAGCTGGTACAACGCTTAGGACTGCTGTATTTGCCTCCGAAGGTTCGATCGTGGCGCTACAGTAGAGGGTTGCGCTCTCTGGAACTCAATATGCAGTCCTTAGGACTGGCCACTAGCAGCATCGTCACGTCTACTCCAAGTCTTCCGCAAGATTCTAATGATGACGACGATGATGATGCGTTCGAAGTGGTGGAAGAACTGGAGCAGATAGTTGAAGCGCTGTTGTGCGGATTGCGAGATAAAGACACAGTTGTGCGATGGTCGGCTGCAAAAGGAATCGGTCGGATCACTGGACGTTTGCCATATGAATTCGCCGATGATATAGTCCAGTCAGTGCTCGAACTATTCGTGGCGACGGAAGATGACGGAGCTTGGCACGGGGCGAGCTTGGCGCTAGCAGAACTTGCTCGCCGTGGTGTCTTACTGCCGCAACGTCTTCCTGACGCAGTGGATTGTGTGGCTAATGCTTTGAAGTACGACATTCGGAAGGGCACGTACAGTATTGGTTCTCACGTACGAGATGCTGCCTGCTATGCATGCTGGTCTTTTGCGCGTGCATATGAACCTTCACTGCTTTTACCCTGGTTAAAACAAGTTCTGGCCCCAGCGATGTTGGTGAATTGCGTGTTTGATCGTGAACTGAATTGCCGTCGAGCTGCATCGGCTGCATTCCAAGAGAACGTGGGGCGCCAAGGACGGACAAATTTCCCTAATGGCATCGACTTGCTTACAAAAGCCGACTATTTTTCGGTGGCGAATTTACGTCATGCCTATTTGGATGTCAGCGTGTTTGTTGCAAAGTATCCAGAATATCGTTACGCACTGCTGGATCATCTTATTGACGCCAAGATTGTTCACTGGGATGCTCAAATTCGCACTCTTGCGGCTGATGCATTGGGTAAAATAGCCGCGTTGGACCCACCTCACGCCATGACACGGATGTTCCCACGACTTGTGGCATTCGCTCTGTCACCTGATGCCGAGGTGATCACTCGACATGGTGCTGTGATCAGTATCGCCGAGTTACTCACGAGTCTAGCGCACGTTCCGGTTTATATTGAGGGAGAGCTACAAAAGAAGGTCAAGATGTTACCTATCGAGATCGAAAAGAGGCGTTTGTTCCGTGGCCGTGGCGGAGAGATGATTCGAACTGCTGTTTGCAATGTGATCGAAGTGATATCGAACTCTCGACTGAGTTTGGGCTTCACTCATGTCAAGAACTACTTATCCATACTGGAAGAATGCTTTGTTCACCCGAATGAAACTGTACGCGATGCGGCTATCGATGCCTTCGGGGCTTTCACGTCTCAATATTGCCACAAGATATTTGAGAAGGGCAGTCCAGTTCATGTGAAATACATGCAGGAAATAGTCCCGCGTTACCTCAACTCTGGTATTATGGTAGCTTTCAAGGAGAACGGTGTTTCTGTCCAAGTTCCGAACCCGAATGTGGCCGCAAGGCGAGGATTTCTACGTGCTGTGGGCGTTGCTGCGAAGGAGCTCATTCAACCGTGCATAAAGGAAGTCTTGGCTGCTGTCATTCAGTCTACATCGCTTCAAGAGCGTCCAACTGAAGACGAAGATCCCGGAAGTCGAGTCGCGGCTGTGCAAGCGCTAGTTGACCTAAGTTCTAGACCCCCAGGTGAGCTTGATCTTAAAGGTATGGAAGACTCTATAGTCCAGACACTCGTCCACTGTATCCATCAAGATTATCGTCTCGATGAGCGTGGAGATGTCGGTTCCTGGGTTCGTAAAGAAGCGATGCTGGGTCTCGAGAAGCTGCTTCTTGGTGAAAGCACACACGCGCAAAACCAACACTTTCGCTTGATTGGCGCCACTACACAAACAGCCTATGGCCAAGGTACCATTACTGACGCATTATCTGACCGGAAGCGCAAGATCGAAGAAATCAACGGTGAATCCACGACTGACCCGTTATGCTACGTCAAGTTCGATAAATCAGCACTGGGATATTACTACTTTAGCCCAACAGGAGTGGGGCTTATTCATGCGAAGAAATTGGTGAAAGCAGTTGCTAAAGTTCAAAGTGACAAGGAGTTTAAAATTCCTGACTTTGAAACGCGCATGAAGCTTACAGAACAGCAAACAACTTCGAGTTCAGATGCTGCCATGCCGTTTGCACGACAGTTGTCTCCAGACCTTGTCAGCACAATTGTAAGCTATACGGTTTGCTATCGCCACTGCTAGGTCATTAACTAAGTTCTTTTTTTGTTTGTACAGTTCGGGGCTCTGGCGAAGCAATTGGCAGAAAAACTGGACAGCATGAGGATGACGGCTGGAAGTATTTTATTCCGACTGCTACATTCAACCAATCCTCGCGTTGATGGAATTCCAGACCGTTTTCAGCTCGAGAAGATCTTCTCGTCGACACTTGTGGTGAATTGGTCGATGGCTCATGATACTTTCCCGTTGGTTGTGAAGATGTTGGACATCCCAGAACTGATGGAGGAAGTTGCCGCGGGTCTTGTCATCAGTGTGGGTGGTCTCACTGAAAGTGTGGTGAAGGCTTCCAAGGGAGCTCTATTCGAGTGGGTGCGTGCACACTTACAAGCAACAAACTTCGGCCTGCTCACTCGATTCAGCTTTTTTCTGGTGACTTTACTGACGCGACATCATCAGGATGACCGCGTTACGATTCCTCTCATGAAGACGATGGCGTTGCTGTTGGAGTCGAATCTGCTTCGCTTTTTGTTCGAGAAGCGTCAAGCAGAAGACGGCAGTGATACAAACATTACAGACTTTGGAGAACGTTTGTACTCAGCGTTGCGTGACGAAATCCAAAAATGCACTGCAGTTCCAAAGCTAAGCGCTGCGATAAGTGTGCTGATTGGTTTACTTCCAAGCGACCCCGAGACAGAATCAAAGACGTTGCGTGCGCTGGTGCTTTTCCTGGGGCACAAATTCCCCAAAGTTAGGAAACTGACTGCAGAGAAACTTTACACGCGATTTCTCCTTCACGACGCGATTATCGACGAGGAAAAGGTAAGTGATGGCGGTGTTTTGCTAACTTCCCTATTGCGTACTAATGAGTTTTAACTTGTAGTACGACACGGTGGTCGAGATTTTGAGCGATACAGCATGGGACGCTTCGGTACGTCGTGTTCACATTCATATTCGAAGCTGACAAGTGGCTAACATCGTCTTGTTGATCAGATTTCTCAGGTGCGCTCTGCTCGGAACGAGTTGCTAGAACTCTTTGGCATGGAGCTACCCTCGAAGAAGATGTACGTTTACTATACTATCCCTTACTCTGTGCTCTACTAACTCCATTGTGCAGGCCTGACCCCGCTAAGTCCAAGTCAGAGCCTTCACAAGATGGTGCAGGTTACAAAAACCTCATCAAGGAAATGGGCTATTAGCAAGTTTTATCCGCGCAAAAAGAGCATTCGCATACTTCAAAGTACGTTGCAGTATCCCCAAGTGTCAATCTATCCCCTAGGTCTCGAATTCGTGCTTGTCATCGCCAATGGTTGTGGTCTCGTACGTCACTTTAACTCGACCACCAGTTGCACCTTCACTGAGGTAGATGAAGACATTCATCATAAACCACGTGAACACAGGACTCCACGACTTCTTTTCCAATGGTTTGATCGCCCCCGTCGGCTTCTGTGTTGCTGTACCTCGGATACGCTCGAATACTTGATCCCATGTGTATATCTTGCCAGTCGTTCCCATGTACATGTTGAGAAGATCTTGCTGTAACTCATTCACGCAAGGTCCCGAGAACAGCAGACCTAGCTCTGTATCGTTCGGACGTGCACTTAGACTGCGGTCAGCCAGGTTCGAAGACGACCTGAGCGCGTACTTCCCATCCGCAATGAGGATGTTGGAATGCACCTTGATCAACACACCGTCGTGTTCTAGACGTCCCACTTGGAGGTGCTGCCACAATTCTTCCGATGTAAGACCGTACGCTGACGCACAATCCTCCAACTGCTCCAGTGACCACTGAATTGAGAGCATGCAGTACGTTCGAGCCAGGAACGATGGTTCGTCCTTCTGAGCTGCGTTTGTCAAGATAAGTGCGTAGAATGGCTCACGTTTACGACGAGCTTGGCTGATACGTGCGACGATGGCAGGGCAGATTCGGTTGTGCTGTAGCGGGCCACCAGAAATCATAATTTGGCTCTCTAACTGTATGGAATGCTTGGCATTCATGATCATGTTGACCATGCAGTTCTCCTCTCTCCAACCACCAGACACCAGTGGGAACGGTGGAGACTCCATGAACTGATCATAGTGGCGTTTGTTCACTGCTGGTTGGTGGTTAGCCTTGATCCATCTTATCATATCCGACGTGCAACGGCAAATAACACTCAGCTCGTGCCAGTAGTATCCAAGGTGGTTCTTAAGTAGCCATCCTTCACGCTCCGTGTTCACATCACATCCAGTAACCATGATGGTTTCCTCGTCAATACACAGATATTTCTGGTGGTGGAAGGCATATCTCGAGTTGTTGGACAGGTAGCGCGTGAACCAACTCGGACCCAGGTCGCTAACAGAGCAAGCAAAATGAACTTGAGGCGGCAAGATGCGACGCAGATCGGCGATCGAGTTGGTTCCATAGTCACGCACGGGATTGTACAAGATATGCACGTCGACACCCCGCTTCACGGCGTCACGTATGAGTGATACAAACGTGTTGTCCATATGCTCCTCATTGGTAGTGTGGAGGACCTGGGTGAAGTCGCAGAGGAACGTCGAATAGTAAATCGACTTACGCGCAGACACCAGAAGATCCACAATCGTCTCTTGGCATTCGCGGAAGTCACGACACACTCGCAGCTCGTTCGGCTTGGAGCCGTCACTGTCGTTGGCCCAGTTCATCTGCTCAAACTTAAAATCCGTCTCGAATCTTTTGCTCTTCCGGTCGAGTAATTCGTCCATCGGTCGATCCACCGCCTTGACAACATTTGATCGTCGTGCGTCACCATTGCTGCTCTCTGAGTCGATCTTCACTAGTAGCACACACACTCCACAGATCGTGATCATGATGCCACCTAAGAAATACATGAGCGCGTTGTAGCTGTAGCTGGCCATTTCATTGTAGAAGATCATTCCGCAGCCCATATTGCCAATGATGATGAACGCCTGATACAACGGGATGAATTTTAGTGTACCGAAGAACTCGAGTCCTTTGTTCAAGAAGAAGAGCTGCGGCACTAGAGCACATGGGATAGCGAGCACCATTAAGATGAAGAACGGGTTGAAGAACACGAGCCAGTCCTGATGCTTTAGTGACGATTTGGTCACTTCGACGACCGATTTGGTAGCGAGCGACGTAAATCCTGCCATGACTCCTGCGCAGGAGCTAAAAGCCAGCAATCCAACCGGGTGACGCTGTAGTTTATCCGTGTGCACGCGTCGTAGTAGCAGCATTGCGTACGCGAGAGCCATGACGGTATATCCGAGCGGGAATACTGAGTCTCTCATTAACAACCGGCCCAGAGACTTGAGGGTGTACGATCTCTGAGGCACATTGGCCATTTGGGCAGCATAGACATCAACTCCGACGCCTAGGATGATCAGAGCGCTGGAGAGCAGGTCGTAGACGCTGAAGCTTTCGTGCAGCACGAAGCGGCCGAGTAGCGCGCTGTAGATGAGTGTAAGCGCCGCAAAAGGAGCTTGTACGGCCTGGCCGAGGATACCGAGGTTGATGACGGCTGAGATGGTACCCACAGCCAGCAGGAGGAGCCCAGCCAGGTAGGCCGTCTGCATGGTAGCTGTACCCAGAGATGAGTTGCGAGCCACACGGATATGCGCGTACTTCTGACAGCAGTAGCCACTGGCGGAGAGGAAACTACCGAGCAGCGAGTTGAGCACACCTGCGTACAGGTAGGCCGTGGCGTCCACATGTAGATCCAATTGTGGTCCCAATACCAGCAGAGCCAGCCAAGCCACTGTGCAGAAGACACTCAGGATCACGGCAAACACGAACCAGCGCGGCAGACGGAAGGGTGGAGGGGTGGGCGGAGAAGACGCAACAGTTAGACGAACGTCACGCGGCAGCAGCGGCGTCAGTTCCGAAGCCGTCGCCGCGGATGGAGAAGCACGAGCCATCCTTACGTCAGATGGACAAGAACCTTTGTGGATGATTTGGAAAACGATGAAGGATCTTCTGTAATCAGATAGAATTTTAGCCAATGGGAAGGCACAATAACTGCTTTATTAACTATAAGATTGGACAGTCAAAGGGTTATTAACTCAGAGAGTACAGTATCGCCATGAATATGTCAAACCTTATCCCACCTTTCAAGTCGTCCACAACCGATCTGTGCTATGAGGATACGTGTGAGTCTGCACAGGCAAGTGGCGGCTTGTAGCAGTCCGGAATGTACTTGAGCTGGAACGAGTTGAATGCGAACTTGGTCTTGCCAGTATTCGCCAGTACATTGACGCGACGCACGCCGCGTTCTCTCATTGCGTTGCAGAGATGCACACCTTGTTTCACGTGGAAATGCTCCACCAGTAAACGCGAAGTCTCCAACGTCACGGACATCGCTGTGCGGTCCTTTCCGCTCTTGCAGCATGTCGTGCGTCCAGCTCCGAGACGGCGACAAATATCGCTGGACGCGATTAAAATGTTGACATACTTCTTTTGCACATTCTCCGTGCGAATATTGAGACGATCAGTGAGTGATTCGATCTCTGCTTGAAGCTCCGACAGCTCAGCTAGATCTGCTTCACGTTTCTTGTCATCACCAGCGGCACTAGCAGTCACTTGAGTCTGGTATACTCGGAAATACCGCTGCAGCATCTGCACACTCTCAAAATTCAGCTCGTCTTGTAGACTTGAGTTGAGATAATGGTTAGCCACCGACTGCATCTCGTTGATTCCCTGAGTGAACATCACTCCGTGCAGTTTGATGGCGTGACCTTGCTGCAGAACATTTGGAAGCTTTGCGAACACCTCAGGTGGCACAGCGAAAGCAACCACAACATGGTCTCCAGTCGGTGTACTGGTCACACTCACACACTTGGACATCTCCATGTGCGGATTGGCTTCAGCAGATTGGACCAGCTGGAAGCTCACCACGCTGTTAAGCCACCGAACTCCCTCGGACATGTCCTCCAACATTCCCTTTTCAGCGCCAACGGTACTCAGCAACGATTCAATGCTAAGTAAGTAACCAGTTGAGCAAGCCAACTGTAAACGTTGACGATGTTGGCCCCCACGAGTCGCAGCCAGACCCACAGCATTGAGGAATGAAGCCCCAGCGATTGCTAGCACTTGCGAACGCACCACGTCTTCTCTCATCTCAATACGTTCACGCAGACGTGAGTCTGGGGGACTTTGTGAAGCCAACTGCTGCTGAAGACGACGTAGTCCACCTTCTTTAAACCCCATAATGTGGGCTGAAGCACAGCCGTGAGTCACCACTGAGTACACAAACTCAGACGTAGGAGACGTCTCACTGTCGCTCTCATCAGTTCCGGATCCATCGTCCATCGATGTAGACGTCAAGCTCCCTCTTCGCGCTTGTTCGCTACGATCGGTATCCCCAGCGAGATGCACACGTCGTCCACGCACTAGATGGCAGTTAAGATTAGTCGCCATGAACGCTGTCGCCTTGTCCTTCTTCATGTTGCTACGTTTCAGACACCCAGTGATGCCCTGTTCCCGTCCATCTTCGAGCGATGCAAACATAGTCTCGTATCGCTTGAGACTTTCTTGATACGAGGCGTGAAGACGCATGTAATGAGCCATTTCGAGTTCCACGTCGCGCTTCCGCTCTTCCACCTCTTGAACTCGAGTACTAGAGGAGTTAGTGCCTGAGTTCGCGTGAATATGCAGCTTCATATCGTTGATAACTGTGCGAGCGTCTTCGATGCGTTGGACATTTCGGCGCTGGAGATGCTTGAGATAAGCGACAGTCATCGAAACGGAGACGTAAGACGCCGATAATTCCTCAGACACAAGCACATGGCTGGCCGTCGATGAGTTCATCTGACCACGGAGCATCTCGCTATAGCTCAAGCCACCCCTCAAGCTCATGGTAGAGCTAGCCATGATATCACCGGACTTGCGCTTCTCCATTGCCTGTGTGTCCACCAAGAAATGGTGCTTGGCATACGTATATGCATGGCTCACATTGATACTGTGACTGGGTGGAAGAAACCGATCCAGAATAATATAGTAAAGCTGTTTGGATGCATCTGTTCGATGACATTCAAGCAGCATCGAAGACTCCCTCGAGAACAGAACATCCAGAGCCGAAACTCGCACAAACCCGAGCGATTTTTGGTTCTCCAGCGACTCTGAAGAAGGGTTCACCACTGAGAAAACTTCAACCTGCAGCATTGAGCGTGCTGAACGTGGAACAGATAGCAAGGCATTGAAATCACGTGCGTAAAAGTCTCCACCACACGATCGAAGCGACAGCGAGCTCCGTATCTCCGTCCGTGAGATCTCCTCTGGTCGTTGTCCTTGGCGGATATTGAACAAAACCACCAGCATCTGAGGCACATCCTGAACAGCCTTGCTGCCAATGGAAACAGCCAACTCCACACTTGGACGAGGCTTGAAACCAGGTAAACTGAGACTTGGAGCACGAGGAGAATTGGACGGAATTTGCGTCACTTGGATCTCACTCTCTGAATGGGCTGGAGAGTGCATCGTTGACAGTCCATTGTCGTCATATGCACGAGGCGCAACGGTAAACGACGCAGACTGCGTGAGAATGGACCCGGCGCTTGAAGACCGGTACAGTCGGGGTTTAGTCTTGGTCGCATCCAAGCGAGCAGAGGCTGTGCTAGCCAGATGAGAGCTTTGCTGCTGTCTGGACTTCTTCGTCTTCTGTTTTTGCTTTTCCTCGTTCTCTCGCACAGATCGGGAGTCGTTGGCAGCTTGTTGGATCACAGTCGAGTCCGTCGAGAAGCGCTTCATAGCGTTCATGCCACTGGCGATATGCGGACTCTCCATACGTGAGAAACTAGCACGATCCACATTGAGATCGTCTAGCATGGGTGTACTCTCCGAGATACGAGCTTGGAGCTCCGTACGGAACGATCCGCCTTCCGTTCGGCGGTCAAACGACCCATTCATCGTCGCACGAGATGTCGATCTCACACGTTGCGTGATGCAGCCGTTGATACACGAGATCCAGGCCTCCATGCTCTCCTCTCCTTGCTCTGCGAACAGCGTGAGCTTGCGTCCTTCGTTCTCAATGGTGAATCTGAATGGGAACCCGTCTTTTGGAGTGGGCTGCACTCTCGTGTTCTCATCGATTGCGATCTCTCCCAGCTTGGCAAGCTCCTCAGCTGACGTGTAGTAGCAGAGCACAGGGCGGTCACGTCTCAAGATGAAGAAGCGGCGTCTCCACGACTTCCAGAACGAGCCCTGCTTGACCAAATAGCCGCTAGTGATGATGTCAGCGTCTGAGAACTGCTCCACGTCGTTGCCACTCATGTGCACCGTCCTGTTCTTTTGATACGCACGCTTGCGCAGTCTGGCCATGGCTTTACTACCGTCATGCGCGTGGTAGAATTGATCCTCGAAGCGCCCGCTCTCCGACACTTTAAGCTTGGGTTTCATGCGCTCCGTCATGTCTGAGAGACGCGATGGGTCGGTCAGGTGGATCTTAGCCAAGCCGTCGTCAGCTGGAATCGTGGGCGCCGCGTCCTTGGCAGCCTCCTTAACTCCACGCTTAGGTTTCTCGCTCTTACTCCTCCTAATGGCAGCGGGCGGGTCAACCGCGGACTGAGCGGGTTGCGCAGGAAACAACATGGACGGTAGCGAGCGTGGTGGCTCCGATCCATCGGCATCTGCAGTAGGAGGCGTCTGGATTTGACTCTGATTCGGCGCTTTGTTCTTCTGTTGAGCAATTGCTGCAGCAAGAGTGAGCGTCTTCCCCGTCGTCTTGGCAGGGGACGACGCGCTCTTACGAGGTGGAGACGGAGCGTTGGCAGTGTTCTCCATTGATCTACACTGGGCAGGGCAATTTGACAGCAGATAGTCACGCGTGGCCTATGCCGTCGACTACTGCGACTGAGCTGATTTCCTGCCGGACACCAAATGACTTGGAGAATCCATACTGAGCACAAGACAATCAGACGAGGGGTGCGGCTTCAAGACGTGGGTACAGCTAGATTTTTCTGCTGTGTGGTACACCAAGTGTACCCAAACGGTCATATTGTCATTCGCCATCATGCACTGGCACACAAAAGTAGTGCGGTCGGCTGGCGATGCCGCCACTTACATGCAGCTCGTGGGCCGAAGCAACGAATGCACCAAGCTGATCAAGGCCGGAAAGCTGAAAGAGGCTGAGGCGCTGCTTCGTGACGTGCTGGCTAGCAAGCCCGCGGCTGGATTTGACGAGGTATCGATTGCATTGACGCAGAACGAACTGGGTGGTGTTCTGCGGCAGTTGGGTGAGCTGGACGAGGCACTCGAGCTGCTCATGAAGGCTCTAGAAGTACGCGACCATGCGGACGAGGAGTCGGGCATCACCATTGCTTTGCGGGACGGAAATTTCACGCGGGAGGAAATCGGAAAGGTGTATGAAGCCAAGGGTGACTGCTCCAAGGCGTTGGAGGTTCGGCAACCAGACAAACGCATCTGCGGCAATGAGGCCTGCGAAGCCCTTGACTACGAGGTAGGTAAGCTACAGGCGTGTAGCCGCTGCAAATGCGTTTTCTACTGCGGCAAGACGTGCCAGCGCCACGACTGGAAGAATCGCCACAAGCCGCTGTGTCAGCCGGAGAAGGCCGCCAAGGCTTCGTAAGCTGAGTTGAGAGAGTGAATCCCTATTTTAATTTTTTTATGAGATGTTGCGGTAGTGAGAGCAACCAGTGAATGATGTCTGGGACGTTGACACGATAATCGGAGCTGAAATTTCGCTTAGCATTGGCTTTCCGAGGCAGCTAACCACTGCTCAACTTGAGCAGTGAAATGGAATTACCGGTAGTTTAACAAACGTATGAAGGACCGTTGCTCGAGCAACCCTATCGTTTGACCAAACATTAGGCATCATCCATCTATAAACACTTTCGTTTAGCAAAAATCTAATATGCAGTAGCAGTCGAGGCGCAATAGCATGCATATCCAATCATTTCTGCTTGTCCTCCTCCTGACTATCGCCGTCCTTCTCAGCGCTTTCCTCGTCCTCCTCTACTTTCTCATCATCGTCGAGCTCCACCTCATCCTCGCCAGCCTCGGCCTCGTTGAGCGGAGCGTCGTCACCCTTTTGCTCAAGAGCAGCGAGCTCCTCTGCACGCATGGGTGGAGCGATGAACCAGGGCAGCTTGCCACGCTGGTAGTCGTTGATCATCTGCACGGCGACGTTGTTGTAGTCGGGCTCACCCTTCTGCAGCAGCTTACCACACTTATTGGCGAGTTTCTCCAGGAAATCCCACTCGTCATTCCACTCCTCAATGCCGTACACTTTGACAATAAACTCCTTCTTGACTCGCTGTAAGATGGTCAGGATGAAGTCCGTGGGCTGAGGCAGACGCTCAGCACGAACGACACCCTTGAGCACAGTCTCAACCTCGTCATCACCCGTGTCATACACGATACCGGGGCAATCAATCAGGAAGATGCGGCGCATGAGCGTGATGTACTGCCACACCTTGGTCTCACCCGGGATCGGAGCCACCTTGCACACCTTCTTCTTACGCAATGCGTTGATTACCGAACTCTTGCCCACGTTCGGGTAGCCAATGAGACCCACAGAGATCTGCTTCTTCTCCTGGTGCAGCTTTGCGAACTGACGCAGGAGGTTAATCAGCGCACCCTTGCCGAACGGGTTGCTCATGGACGCGTGGAAAGCAAGCGTAGGCGTCGTCTCGCTGAGCTTTTGCACCCAGCGCTTGGTGACCCAGTTGGGCACCAGGTCGCACTTGTTAATGACAAAGATTAGGTGCTTGTGCGAGGCGTTCTTGCGGATGTGCTTCTCCACGTGCTCGCAACGGGTACCAGGAACGTTGCGGGCGTCCAGCACTTGGATAACGACGTCCGAGCAGTCCAGCACCTTGTAGAGCTCGCCCCAAATACGCTTGGACTGGCCCTTGTTGAACACATCGTGCGAGACCTCTTCCTTGAACTCCTGTTCCACGGTAATGTTGCGATCCGGGCCCTTAGCTTCGTACTTCTCTGCATTCTCCTGCGCTCTGGAGACCAGCGACGCGTAGTCCGTGGCTGCAATCTTGGCACGTTTGCGGCTGCGCTTGCCGTTGAAGACCTCGTCGTAGCTCTCGGTCTCCAGAAGTTTCATACGCGTCGTCTTCTCGCTCTCTTGTAGCAGACCCATAGGCAGCTTACGCGTACGCAGCACCACCGAGTACGGGTCGGCGGCCTTGAGGGACATTTCGTTGCGGAACTTGTCCAGCTCCTTCTGTCCCACCACGCGCGTGTTACCGAACCAGCGGCGGTCAGGCTGCACGCGGCCACTAGCGCTGGTGATCTCCTGTCCTCCAGCCTTGTTCTTCATCATGAGACTACCGCCCACGACCTTGCCGGCCTTGTTGCGGATGGGGCCGCTGTTGCGATACATGTTGAGGCGCTTGATGGTGCTCTTGTCACGCATGTTGGCCGCCTTCTGCCGCTTGGGGATCTTGCGGTTTGGGTTGTCGGCTGACGCCTTAGTCGTGTTGATACCCTTCGCCATGGCTCTCGTCTTAGATGCTGCAGAGCGAGGTCAGATACGTGCTCGGCGTGACAGCAATTCCCTAGCGCAAAATGACAGCAAAAGCAGACAACGACCGTTGGAACGATTGGGCATCAACCGCGCAATTTTCCGCCAATGGAAGACTGAATTTAAACTGGCTTTCTACCAATCATGCATTACTGAGTATTTGATGACAGCGCTGCGTCAGGCTCCATTTCCGTTATTTACAGCATAGTCTTAACTTTATCTGGCGCTCATATAGAAAGTCGTCTTTGATAACAACACAAAGTATCCTCTTTTTACAATTGCAGCCCTGTATTCCAGCTGCAAATCGTTCTTCATCAGACGCAGACTGCATCCGTTGTCAGCCATGACAACCATGGCGCTCGCAGCACAGCAGCACCACGAGCGCGCCGAGATGGCTTCGTATCTGTACGAAAAGCACCTAAATCACCAGGATGGCGTAGCTGGCACGCTGAGCATCCGCCTGGTGGCAGCTCGCAACCTTCGCGCCGCCGCTTCCATGTTCTGGGTGCGAACATGCAACCCGTACGTGATCTTCCGCGTTGGAAAGCAGAGCGTTCGCAGCGCCACCATTCCAAGTAACGATAACCCAACGTGGCGCCGCGAGCTACTCGAGGTGAAGCTGCCCAAGTTGGACCACAAGCGCCACCCTCTGGGCGAGCACTCGGATGTGAGGATGGAGCTGATCGTTGACGCAATGAACGAAGACTCGCTCACCGGTAAGGCCACAGAGGCCGTGGGTATGGCCAATGGGTCTGTAATCGGCACAGCCGCCGTGGACTTTACGCCGCTTATTGAGGGCAAGGAAGACGTCATGGACCAGTGGATCCCACTCAGTGGTGCGCTTCCCATGGCTGCCGCTACTGGAGGAGCGACAGCCGTCAAGAAGCAGCAGGCTGAAGCAGAACTGAGCTTGGGTGAGGTTCGTATCGTGCTGCAGTACGAGCCGCACGGCATGGAGCCGCGTGTGGGTGACGTGGTGAAGTTCGAAGGTTTAGGCTCCTACCCGTCAGCGGTGCTCGGTCCCGTGGAAGAATTAGAGCTACATGTGAAGAAGACGAGCGGCAGTTATTTGCTGTGCAGCTACACGACTCAGTCTGGCTATGAAGCTACGTTACGCGTGCATCGCAACAACGTCTTCGTTGCACATCGCGGCAGCTTTTTCGACCGCTTCTACGAGTCGTTCGTCGTCGAGCCACTGGAGTTCGTAGGTAGCACACCCATCGGCCAGTCTGCCAAGGAAGTGCTGCGTCCGTATATGAATGTGGCTCGTGCATTCAGCGGCCCAGCCCTGGTGGCGACGAAAGCTACACTCATGACGACGTACCGTGCGTCTACGGCAGCTATCGGTGCGGTGGTGGCATCTCTCGACGAGTAGAACCCGTGACATATGTAGCTCAGAGAGGCAAGAAATAGGCAAGGCACAGTAATGAGTCAATGATAAGTATGAATGAGCCTGCATTTGATCAAGCAAATATGTACGATGGCAATTCTACTGACAAATGCGATTCTATTGAACAATTGATTGATTTCGGTAGTCGCAGGTGATTGGCGAATACTGAAACATATGTAGTCACAGACTTGAAGGCAGCATCAAGGACGTTGACAAGGTTTTGAGACAATGCTGGGTGCATTTGTGGAGAGCTGTAGCTCTCCCCGGCTTATTCACATCGCAATCGAACAGGGGGCCGCGTTGAGGAAGTTGCTGAGATGACGTCGCCGCTGTCTTCTCGTATGAGTCTGGACAGCTTCCGGTCGCCCGCAGACAAGAAGAGCTACCGTCTCATCACTCTGTCCAATGGACTGGAGGTTCTGCTCGTCCAGAGCGATGCTAGTCCAGTCAATCGATCAACATTCGACTGTAATGACGATGGCAATGATCTGGACAGTCTCAGCTCGACGGATGACACGGGCTTTGACGAAGAAGGAGACGAGATCAACGATCGAGCTCCAACATTGGCCGCAGCGTGTCTGACAGTAGATGTGGGCAGTCTGGCCGATCCGGAAGACTTGCCAGGTCTAGCACACTATTTTGAGCACATGATCTTCATGGGTAGTGAGAAGTATCCAGCTGAGGACGCATTTGAAAGCTTTTTAAGTGCACACGGAGGGTCCAGCAACGGAGCGACAGAGTGCGAGTCTACGAGGTTCGTGTTTGATGTGGATGCTGCTTACTTGGCACCAGCACTTGATATTTTCGCGAATCTTTTTGTGGCCCCGATATTACGACGTGAAGCGATGGAACGCGAGCTGAAAGCAGTTGAGTCCGAGTTTCAGCGGATGAGGAACAATAATTCTGTCCGTTTGCAGCAAGTTATGTGCGAGACAAGTGTTCCAGAGCACCCATACTCGCGCTGCTTTACGTGGGGCAATGTGGAAAGTTTGAAACACAATCCAGAACGCGATGGAATCAACGTTCGTGAACAAATGCTTCAGTTATTCAATAAGTTCTACGTGGCTCCAGCAATGAAGCTATGTGTGTATGGGTGTGAATCACTAGATGTATTGGAACAATACGTGACTCAGAGCTTCAGTGATATTCCAGCCTATCGGGGCAGCTACGATAAACCTAGGTCTGAGACCCTGACGGTGCCTTACGGTGGTGGAGCAGGTCAGAAGCCCACGGTCTTACACGTCATTCCAGTAGGAGAGAAGTGCTCGATTCGCTTGTATTGGATGCTTCCACCAATGATGAAGAACTACCGGCAGAAGCCTTGGTTATATGTGGGTCACTTGTTGGGCCACGAAAGCCCAGAGTCTATTGCTTCATTGCTTAAACAAAGACAGTGGGCTACCGACATCATTGCCGGCACCTCTGATCGAGATGGCTACGAGTTTGGGTCGTTTGGTACGGTTTTTGAGGTCCGGATATCTCTCACCGAACAAGGTCTGGCGTGCTGGGAACAGGTTGTTCAAGTCATTTTTGATGCTCTTCATATCTTTTCATCTCTAGCAGCAGCCGGCGATTTACCTGCTTGTGTGTTTGAAGAACTCCACTCGTCTAGCGAGATGGACTTTCGATTCCAAGAAGATGACATCGCACCCGTGACTTTATGCCGTGAGCTCAGTGAAAGGATGCTGCCTCGCCACAATATTCAACAGCATTGCGAGGGAGATTTATTGCGCTATGATCTCATACAGGGTGGATTCGACATTTCATCTGTATACTCGCTACTATCCGGGCTTTCGGCTAACAATGTCCGTGCCGTCTTAGTGGCGTCTTCATTTGCCGACACTCTCAACCCAAATGATCTCCAGACTGAGCGATGGTTTGGTACCAAGTACACTGTAAATTCAATTCCTGAATCAGTGATTGCAGCTTGGTCGCAGCTTTCGAATGAATCGATCGAACTGTCGGTCTTGCCAACACCGAATCCATTCATGCCTCGAAACTTCTCAGTATTGCCGTTGGAACCGGTTATTCAAGTTGATAATGACACTCCTCCGGACCTCATCCTCACAACGTCAACTACACAGCTCTGGTACAAACGCGATCGCAAATTTTTGGTGCCCAAAGCGAGTGTCAGCTTCCTCGTGACGCTACCAGAACCAACAGCAGCGATTCATATGCTCGCAGAGTTGCATGTCGAGTTGGTTAGACGCCGTTTGCAGCACACGTTAGAGCAAGCTGAGACTGCAAGTTTTACTACCGAGTTGGACGTAAGGGACGAAGCTATTGAGGTGGTGATCTCCGGATTCAGTGACATGTTGCCGTCGCTGGTTGTTGTCATTATGCGAGAGGTTTTGCGTCCGTCCACGACATTTGATATTGAATCGGAATTAACGTTAGCGCGAGGTGAACTCGAACGTGAGTACCGCAATGCTACATTATCTCCAAGAGCAAAAGCTTACGAGTTACGCTTGCAGATGCTAGAGAGCAGAGCTGTCACTACGGACGACAAGTTGGAAGCACTTCAAAGCAAATATGGACATGAGAGTGACCTTGCAGCTGATCTCGCACACTTAACGGTCTCCGTTCTCGGATGCAGTAAAGATACACCGGTGATACGCTGCATGGTGATCGGCAACATGAGTCGGGAAGCTGCTGTTTCACTCGTTCTGGACGTTGAAGCTGTCAAAACTGGAGATTCTTCCTTGCTACCCTGTGAACCAGAACCAGAGCTTGAACCAGAGCCCCCGATATTGGCTCCAAGATGCCACACGATAGCTCTACCACCGACAACCAATGGTCTACTAGTACGTCGTGATAGTGAACGCATTGGAGAGCGGAATTCCGTGGTCGAAGTGTATTTCCAGATCGGCAAAGTCGGACCGACAGATCGAGCGTACGCTATATTATTGCGCTCTCTACTGGCCCAGCCACTCTTCCACGAATTGCGAACCAAGCAGCAACTGGGGTATACTGTGACTTGCAGTATTCGAGACACACACGGTGTACTCGGACTGAATCTGAGCGTACAGTCAGCCTCGCATGCTGCCGGTGCCGTGGCCAAGAAGCTCGATGTCTTTTTACATGAAGAATTCCCACACGATTATCTGCTCTCCGATGAACGCCTTTCGCCCAAACGCTTTGCAGCCTACGTCCAAACTCTGCAGCGAGCTTATGCTCGACCTGACGCAACGTTGACTGAGCAAAGTGAACGATACTGGGAAGAGATCGTAAGTGGACGTCTGGAGTTTGACTTGGATGCGCGAGTAGCGACTGCTCTTGGTGACTGTACGCGTCAAGGTCTACTCGAAAGGTACCAATGCTGGATACAAGGAAGCACTAGCTGCTGCAACACGTGCACTCAATCTCGTGATGGGAACCGTCAAGCTCAGCACAGGAGCAGCAAAAGTCATGGGACACGGAAACTCCGAGTGCACGTTGTGGGCCAATGCAGTCCATTGAAGCCACTCGAGCAGCTCGTACCTCCTGGCAAAACTCCATTCATCATAACAGGAGACTTGCACGATTTTAAGCGCGAGCTGCGGTGCTACTGCCACTTGACGAGTGACTAAATTGAGAAATCTATTGACTAGAGAGAACGGATATCTACATTTCCACTGTATCCAACCTTGTCATCCTTTGCCTTGCCCATCGTTTGTTGTTTGGAACTCGAGCAACTCGGACGCTGTCACAAAGTTGTGTACGGATGGCCGATGTGAGGCGGTGGCGCTTACACGTCGTAAACGCGGTGAAGGGGGATTACTACCAGCAGTTGGTCCATCATCGCTCGTCTTTAATGCACGAAGAAGGAGGTTTCGTGTGGAACTCCGAGTCCTCGACATCTCCTTCAATGCATCGGACACTACTAGACGCTTCTCAAGGTTCATTATTCGACTTTCGAGGCTTTCAGAGTGTGCGTGCATACGAGCTTTCATGACTTCCACTTCTCCTGATACTCGAGATACTTGCTCCAGGAGACTTTGAAGTGTCAACTCCAGCATTACGGCCCAAGGCGGAACATTTTCGGACGATGAGGTAGCGGCTTGGGTAGAACTAGAGCCAACGTTAGGTGCCTCGTTGGCTGTAGAATTACTGGGTATTTCTTGTGAGGTTGGTGCCTCCTGTCGAGGCTGATATGATTGTTGTTGAGGCTGTCGAAGTGACCACTGCAGTTGGTTCGGTTGTTGCTGTAGCTGTTGTAAAAGTGTAATTGAACTGCTGGTGCTTGGTAATGATACTGAACCACCTCCCCCGCTTAATGGCGGTGATGACTCCGGGATGGTAGCGGCAGCTATTAAGTTACTAAGATTGCGTTTACTACGCGATCGATCTCCATTTTGGACCAAGAAAAGCTCGGACAATTCCTCAATCTTCGCGCGGATGTACTCAACGTTAACCTCCATCATTTCCAGCATGGTCATTTGTGAATCCATGGGATCACTGACATCATGAGAGTGCACTCGTCTCTTTACTTGCCGATACTTTGCCAGCACTGTGAACAATTTGAGCTCCGCTCGACGCAGGGCTCGTTTCGTACCGCTGGTTCCTGTCGCTTTGTCCTCATGAACCTCCGTTGTCGAAATGTTACCGTGACTACTTTCGCCTCCTTCTAGTGAGGCAGCTCGGTTATGTCGACGTTGTGCTGCTCGAAGCTGTGCAAACGCCTGCAGTGCTCGAGCCGCATGATCATTTATTAGCCGTCGATGTTCGTCTTTCTTGAGGAACGCATTGACTTTGTGCTCCGACCGTGTAAGTACTAAATAGTTACTCATGACTGCGATAGTCACTGCAGCGGAGAGAGTACCGAAGACTCCGGCACTTACTGCTATGCCACGACCAAGAGTTGTGCGCGGTACGACGTCACCGTATCCGATGGTGAGAATTGTGATGATAAGCATCCAAATCGCGTCGCCAAGTAACATGGGTTGACAGCAGGAATCCGCTTTAAAAGCACATAAGAAGCGCTCCGCCACGTACATTGAATACCCAGCAACGAACCCAAGAACAGTAAAGCTTGTTATCAGACATGTGGTAGGATGATTCTTTAGTGTCGATTTCATGAAGAAAGTTGCGGTAAAATCGACATTAGTGAGCGCTCCAATGAACCATCCGTTGCTCGAATTGAACGCGTTACGGAACTGCACCACTCGAATTATGAGAATCACCCGCGTGAACATTACGAGGCTGGTGGCCACCGTTAGTTGAGGCCATTTCGGATCCACGTCCTCAATTCCGGGGAATGGATGTACACCTAGTACGGCCATTTCAATGAGCAGCGAGTGTCGCAACGAAGAGCTCAGCAACGTCGCCTTTGGTGGCATAATATTCTTGAGTTTCATGACTTCGCATTCTGCTGCGTAGTAGAGATAGATATAGTACAGCATGAGTGCTGTGGAGAAGGAAATAAGCACTCGCAGTGACAGTAAAACCATCCGACCTTCGCTCACTGGTACATTTGTGTCTAAAGCCTCAAAGCAGAGCGGACACTGTGTTGTCGATTCCACCGGGCACAAGTCGGGTAAAGTCCGTGTATTGGCGAACCACATATACTCCATCTGCAACATCATAAGTGCCAGACCACAAAAGCCGTAGAAAACCTGGAAAGCTGTGTGTCGTCGCTGTGCTTGTACGAGTATCATCCGTCGTTCCTGTACTGACGCCATTTCTGCAGTAGTAGCTTTTGCCTTGCTGTCGAAATGTTTCATTTTGGATTTTGGTGACACTGGTACAGTCACTACTCCCGGACCTGGTCGTGTATCTGGTTCCGAACATTCGGTAGCGGACATTGCTGCTTCCAGCGGCACGATCTCATTCCTACTCGGCATGGTTGCTGGCTATGACACGTACGCTCCAGAAACCCACTAAGACACCGGAACTCGGCGAAGTAAAATTCGATGGCCAGACGCGCAGGGCATTCACTTGCGCTCCGCTGGAGGTAAGAAGAAGCCCCTTGAAGCAGCCAGCGGACAGATATAACTAGCACCTGGAAGTTGTTCCTTGCCCAGCGCCTCGCCACTTTCACGTAGTGAACTCTATTCGCTTATTTATAGGGAAGCGACTTCATGGGGTCAGTTTCAGCGACCAAACCTCCTCGCAAATATTAATAACCTCAGTCAACACAAGCAACCAGCAGATCGCGCGACCATATAAACTCACGGTGGAAGCCCTGAAAGCACGACGTAACGCAAAGAAGCTGCTTTATTAGCCGAGTCTCTACGTGGTTAGAATCCACTCAAATCCTCTCCTTCCTCCCGGCACGACTACGAGGTCGCACTAGTTGGCTAGAGTCATGGTCTGGTCTCGCTAAAGACTTAGTAGAAGAAGCCGATGATCTTGCCACCCGTGTGTTTGCGGCGGGCCTCGTGGTGGTCCATGATGCCGTACGTGGTGCTGACCACAATGTGGCCGAACTGACGCGAGGGCAGCAGGTTGTTGATCCACTTCTCGTAGTCAGCAAGCTTGACGTCGAAGCGGGGCGAGATGACACCGCACTTGTTGATGCGGCCCTTGAGCTCCACGACGATCTTGCCGGCACGGTGGTCGTCAACGATCTCGAACTCGCCGATGTAGCCGTTCTTCTGCATCACCTGCAGGAACTTGACGATGACCTTGGAGCTCGGGCGGATGAGAACCTGACGCTTGCCACGCTTCTCAGCGTTGTACATCGTCTTGAGGCAGTCGGCCAGCACGCTCATACGAACCATGGCTGTGGAGTGGGAACAAAAGAAAAACAGAGCATTAATGCCTACTGCTAAAAGCCAAGGTCAACCGCTGCCTGCGAGTCGCTTCTGCAAGTCTCCACACTTCAAACCCCTTAGAGGGTGAGCGACGGAGCTGCGCGATGCAGGCGAGCGGAGCCTCCAAAGTCGCGCGACAACTCGCCCTCGGGTGAGGAAGGAGAGCTGCCGCGCGGCTTCTCTGATGGTGGTGCTGGTAATGGAGCTGGGACGTACTTGCTAGTGGGGGTGGAGTTGGCTTCGAAAAGACTGGAGAGAGATTTGCGAATGACCGCCAAGCAGCTCAATTGCCTTGCTTCACTCCAAGCCAACCAACGCTTTGAGCCAACCAACTGAATAGGAAAAGGTCGCACGAAGGTGAGAATGTTGCGAGAAGGTAACGCTCTTGAATTGTGGTCTGGCCATTAACGCCACGTTCTCTTTAAATGTAAAGGAAACTTAGATCCGGTCTGATTCGAATAAGGTGCTCCTTACTTGTTCAGCACGTATAAGAGCACTTACATAATAGTAATAGTAATATCAAAGGAAATAGTATTAAGCGTTACTTTTCATTATACTACTAGTAGTAATACTGATCTCTCAAATGAGAGATCTGATTGTCGGGGATGGCATTCAGCCTGAAAAATCCCATTATCTTTTGATGGTTTTTTTCGGGCTGAATGCCATCCAACGGTGAGTATTGTGCGTTATGGAACATTATATAGCATAAAAAACCACGGCTACTACGCCATATTTTATTGCCGGAAGTTCTTTCGGAGATTCAAGAAAAAACGATGATATATAAATTTTATTCGTTTTAAAAAGAGAATAAAGTATTAAAACGAGTTTCGTCTTTTTTATTACTTCGAAGAATTATGATAGTGTGTTGTACCAGGATTTTTCAAATACACTTGCCAAATACTTAGTAGCCCGCTGCCGAATGATTATAGAATGTGTTTCGATCTTTATAATCAAAACTTTAAAAAAATAATAATTGCAATTTAACATAGATTTCTCACTCGATCATGCGAATAATCGACATATTTCGAAAATCAACCATAATTTGCAACTCTCCTTATGTTGAATGTGGTTGAGCAGCATTGTGTACATAAAGACGACAATGGCTTTGGAACACACGTAGTTACAATTCCGCCCTGTAAAGCAAACCTGCTTTTTTGTAAGCTAAGAGTAAATTTGTCCTGACATTTAAAATGTTTATATTGTTCAATGTAAAAACAACAATTTTTACAAAACTTTTATAAAGCTATAATAAAGATTTTAAAATGTTGCGTTTCAGCGACATTTAAAATGTTTTTTTAATGTCATTTATAAATTTCAAATGTAATATAAAATTGTATTTTATGTAATAAAAGCTAAATTAACCTCTACAAAATGTTATAAAAACCGAACAAAAGAAGGAGCGGATGCAAGAGATGAGACGTATTCTAACGTAGACTGTAGCGATTAGGGCGTGGTCGGATCAGCTCGGTTCAGATCGTCCTCGATAGCCTACCCTAAGCTGAGGTGGTCGGTTTGCCTCGGACTTCGACAAACGACTCAAAGTCATTCTACAAAAAAAAAGCATCGCTCAGAAACTAGCGTTTGATAGCTGAGTACCATGGTATTGGTGGAAGAAGCTGATGCTGGATTAAGCAGTGTCGAGGGACGAGGTCAGATGTGATAGACGCTGGAGTCTCCTTGGTTCGCGAAGCAGCAACAAGAACCACAGCTGCTCGCGGCCCAAACGCCACGTGGAGCGATGACGACGTCGAAGAGTTTTTCAGACTTCGTTACAAGAGATTAAGCTCGCACTTCAAAAACACGAAGGACACGAAGAGGATCAAGTACGCCTGGCCCGCAGTATTATCACACCAACATTATGTTGGTACTACTTGCTCGTGTCCTAATTCCTGAAGTAGTCATCGAAGCCACATTGCTTCTTTTACACCTTCACTTGCTGCTACCAGCTCTGCCTCTGCTGTATTTAGACTGATGCAGTCTTGCTTAACACTCTTTCACGTAATGCATGCACCAGCGAGTATTGATACATATCCTGTAATCGACTTTCTCTTTTCATGTGCATTCGCGAAGCTCGCGTCTGTGTATAGCTCAAACTTAGTAGTATTACTATTTCCATTGTATAGTAAGCCATACTGCGACGGTCCTTGCAAGTACTTTAATACCCGCCGAGCTGCCCTCCAGTGGCTCTTATTATAGCAAGATAGGTATTTACCCAGGTCCCTTACAGCGTTTGCTATATCAGGCCTCGTCCCTCTAACAAGGTACATAAGGGAGCCCACTAATCCTCTGTAGTCGAACGGCTGAGCCGCGATTTGTTCTGATGTGGGAGACTCTTCCTTCTGTAGTATAACACTTTTTGCTTGAGGTGTGAGCTCAGAAGTACAATCCTTCATGTTATACTTCTCGAGCAAGTCATGAATATATTTATGCTGCGAGACACATAGTACTTTTGTACCCAAATCTCGTGATATCTCCACTTAGAAGATAGTGCAGCTCTCCTAAATCCTTCATTGTGAACTTTTGTGCTAGTTGATCCTTAAGCTTTTGAATTGCGCTGAGGTGTGAACCAGCAATGGTCAGATCATCAACATACACACATACTAGTAGTGAATGCACAACTCCTTCAACCTCCCACTTTTTGTGGTACAATCAATACTCTTTTCTTGCACCTCAAAAGCCCAAGTGATTCTAGAAATACATTTAGAGCACCATACCAGATTCTAGATGCCTGTTTTAGTTCATATAGGCTCTTCCTTAATATGCGCACGAGGGAAGACGAACCATGTCGGAACTCAAGTGGATTCCTCGTATACATGGACTCAGGTAGTAAACCGTTTAAGAACGCGGTAGACACGTCCATCTGATGTAGGTGCAGGTCAAGGATTGTAGCAAGAGCGAGTAATAACCTTAGCGACTCATATCGAGCTACAGGAGAAAAGACCTCTTTATAGCCTATTCGATACATTTGCATGTTTTCCCTGCACTACTAATCGGGCCTTAAAGCGCTCGACACTTATATTCGACATCAAATAGCCAATGGCATCTCAGTGCCTTGCGACCTGGTGGAAGTGGAACTAGTGTCCACGTTTGGTTCTGTAGCAGCGCTTAAAATTCTGTCTTAATCGCTGTCTCCCACTGTTTTGAATGTGGTCCAGCCCTAGCCTCCTTTATAGCTTTAGGAATAGGTATATGAGGCCGAGTTACGGAAACCAGATCTAACTCTGTCATAAATCCTTTTAGTCGCGAATTCGGTATTCGAATCATTTGGAGCGACGCACTGTCTCAGAAGTAGGGGCTATCTCATCTCCAACTATTGGCAATGTCGGTTCTGGAAGTGATCCCGATATACCTTCTACGACTGCCACTCTGTTCCGATCTGATTCTCTAGATCACTTTCCTAAACTAGAAATATTTAGCCCTTTTTCTTGAGTAATTGAGCACTCCTCAGCTGGGAACGACTCTGCAATCATGGCTGTTGTTGCCACGAAGCTAAACTTCACGTCCCTTGCTACGAGGTACTTATCATTTATGACCTCTAACAGCCGATAACCATTATGATTGTGAGATAGACATAGAAGTTTGCACTCCACCAACCTGCTGCTCAATTGTTGGTCCTTTCTTTTTGATTTAGGAATATGGACATAACATGTAGTACCCCAAATCTGTAATTCTAAACCTTTTCTTTATGGAGCATTTCATTAGGGCTTTTCATTCCTAATCTCTTCATGGGAAGACGCTTTTGATACATCCACCATGTAGAGCAACGCCTCTGACCACCACTTAGATGATATTTTGGCGCCTCTTTGTACACAGCGAACACCGGCCATCACTGCCTGGTGTGCTCATTCTGCACTACCATTTTCTTCTTGTGATTCTACATTAGATCTCTGAAAAACAATGACATTTTTAGCACACAAATTTGAAATATGTTCATTTACAATTCTGTTCCGCCATCGGTTCTTATTCTTTTTACGGTGTAAGGGAATTGTACTGACAACTGCTTTAACAATTCCTTAATGTTGCCCGGTACTTCCTTTAGACGTGTTAGCACGAAATACCATTTGTATGCAGTAGCACTACCGCATGAGCGTATCTAAAACCAAAGGTACCGAATAGACCATTTACTTTTAGCTTTCCTATAGTGTCCATATACAATGTATGCAATGGATCTGTAGACTTTTCTCCTACCATATTCCGATAGGACATTCGGCGGTCCTTCATTTCTGTGCACGTTTTACAGAAAATGGTGGGCTTTTAAGCTGTGCGAAGGTTGCACTATCGGCTTGGTTTGTTTTATGACTGCACATTATCCTCAATAACCTGTCATAGCCGATATGAACCAGTCTTAAATGCCTTCCTTAATTAGTTGTTCATAATTTTTGGTCTTTACCGTGAGGACCCTTTTCTTTGTTACTTTCGTACTTGGCAAACAGTAAACTTTGTCTATTGCTACAGCGGCAAATTTTAATCTCATACTTTTGTCTAAGAAGAATAGTAAATCCCCGTTTTAAATTGTAGGTGCCTGTAGCCCTGCTTTGCCAAGTAATACGCGCTAAGCAAATTACTATCAGATTGGTTGTCATGTGCTACTTCATTCAGTGTTAGAATCGCTCTTTCTCCAGTAGAGATAAGAATACTAAGCTGGACCGAACCAATTAGAGTACTCTGAGAAGTAGTACCAGTGCTGTGCGTAAACCGATGACCCTGTCTTTGCCGCAGCCTCGTGAACAATCCTTTACTAGAGGCCACAGCATGGCCAGCCCTGTATCCACGACCCATACGTCATCAGTTAGCCTGAGTCGTCTTAACTTCCTTAGATTTACGACATTCTTTTGCCTTACCTCTCTCTCAATCATGTCCAGATCCGTTCGCGATTTGCTTCCTTGCTCACTCGTGGGGACGTCACCGTCATCGTGGCACGCAAGATCTTCACTTTTAACATCATTCTCTTTGTCCATGCTCTCCTCAAGCTGCGTCTGTCCGTCATCATTTAGTCGCTCGCCGTCAGATACCACATATTAATTGCTGCACTTTTTCCCTTCCGAGCCCTTTTAGCACCCGGAGCAGTCATAATGTCAGTCCTATATAATGGACCGTCTTCTATTTGTTTGTCCTGGTCTATGGCTCTCGGACAGTCAGCCTTAAAGTGCCCTTTTTCGAAACAGTAACGGCACTCGTCCTCCAGGTTTGCGCTACGCTTCCTCTTTTTGTCCTTGTTGAGGGGGAACGTTGTTGATTGGGATGGTCGGGCTTTTGTCCATGTGTATGGTGATTTCGTTTTCAACTTTTCCCCCAAAAAGCGACGGAGCGCACTCTCTACCTTTTCCACAGTAAAATCGCCTTGCTTAATAAAGATTGACGAGGCCCAAAATTTACTGGGCAGTTGGGAGAGGACTTCAACGCAAAGCCATGGCTCGGTTACCATGTGCTTTTGAGATCTCGTTTCTAGCCTTTTTCAACTGACTAAATAGCGTCCTAAAATCATGTCACTGGCTTCGACCAAGCTCGAGTCGGTTCAATCAGTCCAGTCGCATCCCCTTGAAGGTTCTGTAGGTCGCCTCTACCCCTTTCCCAAACCATCACCTTCCATCGCATTCAAATTGTTCTGCTCTGTGACAGGCGGGGGCTTCTCTGGCGTTCCATGTAGGAAATTCGCCATCAGGACATGCACTTCTGGCAGACCTTTCTCAAGTTGCTTCCTTTTGTACAACTTGTCAATATGATTGACGTGAGTCAAAAGCTTATCCTTCCACATGGTGAACCCTTTGCCATTAAAGCGCTCGAGGCCGCTCGTGTTTTCTTCTTTCAGCGGCCATAGGCTTCGTTGTTGTACTTGAAAATATTAGACTGTGTAGTTGCCGTCAGTTCGCAAAGTGAGATGGTCTCAAACCATCTCTTCCATCACATACTTCGGCTTTTCATTTGGTTGGGCACACTGGCCTCTGTTTCCTTTGGTTGGCAGAGGTGACTACAATAAATAGCCAATTCTATCAACTAAGCAACTTAATAGCCTATCACAGTCCTTTATCAGCCACAGCATACAAACTTATACTAGTAGACATTAATCGATATGGAACAGTACTTCAACAATATCTGTATATACAGGTTCCGCTCCCGTCTACTGAAGCAAGGTATAACCTCGATTGTAAAAAAGGACTATTATTCTCTAGCATATACATATCAACAAGCATGTACACTGTTGGACAAACTCACTACTCGCCGCTGCTTGCATCCGTTGCCTCTTGCATCTCTGGAAAAACGGCAGTGCCCTCCGTCGACCCCGAGTCGATGATACGCAGACTGCGCAGAAACTCTGGATAGGAGACGTACGTACGGGTCTCCTCTGTTTCTTCCCCTGCATTTGACATGCGTCGCACAGTCTTACGATGTGCAAAAGCGTCTGCCAGCTGCTCGAGCTGGGAAAGCTTCAGCGGCGCGCCGTGCTCCTCGTTGATGGCCTGCATGGTGGCGACAAACTGCTGCTTGGTGACGTATCCGTGTCGCTTGCGGTCCAGTATCCGGAACAGGAACTTGATGTACAAACGCTGCTCGTGGAGTGACTGCTTAACGCTGTCAACAAATGTGTCCGTCCACGCCTGGTTCTTTGAAGCCTGTCCGTCCTGAACATCGTCGTCCCCGATGTCTAGCGCTGCCAAATTGGTGTTTGAAGCTCCGAGACTTGCCAACCACAGACGTCGCTGGAAGGTGCTATCAGGTGAGAATGTGTCCTCGAACACGACCCAGTCCAAGCCCCGCTTATCCCACTGATGCCTCTGATTAATTCCATAGTAGCTGAGCAGGATCGAGTTGAACAGCAGCTGCGCTTCCTCATTGTCCAGCTCAGGTACCATGTTCAGCTCCTGCGTCCCCTTCAAAATATCGTCCACTGTTAGTTTTCCTGTCTTGCTATGATCAAATGCATCGAACGCTTCTCGCAGCGACTTGAATTTATTGGGATTCTGCAGCAGAGCAGCGCAACGATTCAGAAGAGAAATGGCCTTCGTGTCGTCCACCTCGAAGATTTCTTGCAGATAATCCGTGCGACTGAACTCGGCGAAGAAGGAGCAAAACTCCTGGTAGTCGACCACACCGTCATGGTTCTGATCGAGATGCTGCATGAGCTCAAAGATCTGCTGCTCTGACAGAGTGTCACCAAGCTGCAGTTTGCCTTGGATGGTGTTTCGAAACACCTCGTACGTGACCAGACTATTACGCATGTAGCTTTCCTTGGGCTTATCACCATAACCACAAGTGCTAAGTGGTCCGCTTTCTTCGATCTTCGAAAGAGGTGTCGCTGCTTTGGCAGCTCCAGCCGGGGAAGACTGGAAGAGATTGAACGCGAAATGAAGTTTGTCCTGGAGCGTCATCTTCTCTGCATCCGATTCCGAGGGATGCGGGAGCGCTTGACAGAATCCCTTCCAAACCTTACGGATCAGATTGCGCCTCCATTCCACGTTGCCACCATCCAGTTCAACAGTGTACCGATTGAGGAATTTCTGGTAGTCGACTCCACCATCCTGCTCCTCCTCAGCGAGTTGATGGAAATACGAGAGAAAGCTTGCCTCAATACCCAACACCTTCTGTAAAGTTGCCTTCCATTCAAGCTTCGTAACTCGTCCGGAACCAGTAGAATCGAGCTCATTAAAAGCAGCGAGCAGGGCATGCTTCTTTTCGCAAATAATCTCCACAAGAGACATCAGCGTTCTGCGCTCTAATCGCTGAGCTTTCTTTCGCCACTCATTGCGTCCAGCATCCTTCAGTTTTTGAAGCGGTTGTGAAGAGAATTGCACCACATGAGGCTTCACTTCGTTGTCTTCTCCCAACTCCAGCTGAACATAGGCGCCTTTGTTCGTCTGGGAACCGCAGTAACTCGACGCTGAAAAGACTGTGAGAAGTAAACCGTCGTGGACGATGTCGAAACCTTCTTCTCGGCACTCGTGCGATCGAATAATGAGACTTATTCCATTCTGCGCGCAAAAGGCTTTGGTGATATCAGGACCGAACTCCACGCCAGCGCCTCGACTAGACGGTTTCCACCCATTCTCGTCACGCGGATCACTCCATAAGAGATGTGTAAACACCTCGTCAGCTCGACTTGTCCCTTGCGTCGGAATTTCACGTCTGTGGTCAAGCTGTAGCAGCTCCTCAATCGTGACATTCTCGTGGTTACTCAAACCTCCGTGCACAATGAAGACGCGTTTATTGAGTAACGCGAAGATCGGGAACAGCCCGAAAACTGTCTCAAAGATCTGGAACAGCTTCATCGGCGAGTAATTCATCGACGTACCCAAGCCACTCCATCCAGCCACCTCGTCATTGTCCGTGCCGTACTTGGTATACACTTCATCTTCAAACCCAAATACCTCATTGATCATACGTTCTTCGTGATTCCCACGGTTCAAGAAGACATATTCGGGATACAGCAGCTTGAATATTAGCAGTAACAGGATCACTTCGATTCCATGCGATCCGCGATCCACGAAGTCTCCGTTGAAGAGGTACCACGTCTTGCTATTGGGCACACCGTTCTTGTCCATAATCGTAAGCAGATCTTCCAATTGCCCATGCAGATCGCCAACTACAACCAACTGCACACCCATAGGGATCTCGATTTCGTTCATTGGCGAGTCGTGCATCTTTCGAAACAGCTTCTCCGATTCGTCCAAAATCTGCCGCACGAAAACACGGTGGAGCAGAATTCCATTGCGAAACTGATTGATCAGCTTCTTCACCGTGTCCAACCGCAACGGGAACGACACATGAACACCACGATAATGCGACAGAGACTCCTTCACACGGTCTTTTTCAGAGACGTCGTCGTCGGGGAACTGCATTGTGTCCAAAGAGCCCAGCATCGGCACCATCGATTGCAGCTCGTTGATACTCGTCGATTTGTTGAGTATTCGCACCATCTGCACTGTGCGTTGCTCTTGAACGGTCTCCAGCAAGTTCCACGTGTTAAAGTTGAGTTGTGTTCGAAATACAGCGTACGACAAGTGTTGACGGATGGCGTTCTTGATGCGGTTGGCCGACAGAACAGCGTCGGAGTAGAGTTCCACGTGCTCCAGTGCAAACCGACGTAACTGGTTGTTTTTCTTCACTAATTCCACGTTCACGAAGGCACTTCCGTCCACTGAGTCATCCGCAGCGTCAACCTGCACCACTCTGCCCACTAAAATCCCGTACACCAACACACGAGTGCCCATTTTCAGTGAAGATCGCTGGATCTTAATTGGCGAGCAGTCCCGACAGATCCGCACTTCATCGTAGTATCCCTGCATTGGCAGTCGCGGGACGAACACGGAGCATTCGTCACACATGCACGTTCCGCACTTGCTGTAACAGATATCAACACGTTAAGATCCCCTCTTTTTAACAACTTGCCAGTGGTGACGTACCGGCAGTGGTGTGGGCGGATGAAGAAGCTGAACTCCTTCTTGCAGACCATGCAGCACTTGGAGTTTTGCACCCAAATGGGACGCAAGGCCAGTCGAAAAGCACGTTCCCATTTGAGGTAGACAGCATCCTTGCCAGCTCGCAGTTTCCAGCACATGAGCTGGCCCGTGGGCGAGTAGCCCGTGAGCTGCATCTCCAGCTTCTTGCGGTTGAACACGAGCCCGCGTTTGATGAGGTCGGCATCGTACTCGTCCTCGCTCTTGGCCAAATCCTTGGCGTTCACTGACGCGTTGAGCATCATAACGCCGCGCAGGTGCTTGGACGTGAGCGTCAGATGCACGCGTCTAGGCCCCTCGGACCCGCCTCCGGGGGCTGCTGCTGGCATTGGCAGCTCGTAGTAGCAGAAGCGGCCGTTGCGGAACAGCAAAAAGTAGCGGAAGTGCGCATAGTCGCCCAGCTTAATGAGTGCGCCCTCCATGAGTTTGTGGTCCTCGTAGTAGTTGTTCACCGGCTCCTCCTCGCCTGAGACCCAGTGGCCCAGCCAAGCACGCGACGTGAAGCCCTCTGTGTCCATTGTTCAGTGCTGCACACGTCTGGCAGCTCCGGTAACCGCACTCTCAAATGACTTTATGAACGCGAAATTCCGCCTCTCGAGTTTAGACGAAGAATTGTTTTTGCTTAGCATTTATCACAGGTGAATGTGATATCGCGATCTATCGAGCTTTAATTTTGTAACAACTGCAATTCTTGAACATACGATTTCGAAGGTAAGGCGCGTGCCTGAGATTCGTTGTGCGACAATCACTCTGGCCAGTTGAAGCGGCTGAGTTCACAACAACTACAGAAACGACTGAGCTGGAGCTGCTGAACCTGAGTAGCTTCAGCCTGAAGCTGCTCGCTGTTCATCTGCGTACAAAGAAACCCTGAGCGAGATTGCCAATGTCATTGCAAGGGGTTTTTGAGGGATTCGTGGCGCTCCAGTATTCTATTGCTATAACTTATGCTTCCCCTTGAGCTCGCAATTGGCATAATCAGCAGCAAGGAGGTGGGTGGTGGAGAACTTGCCAACTCCAGTTATTAAGGCAAAACTCTATCCAATGAAGCTGCTTTCGTCATGTTATATCGTGCTGAGATTAAAGTCTCAAGGAAAATGAATAAACTGTGAGCTTTGTTCCATCATCAAACGGCACTGGCCCCCTTTGCCCCATAGCTAAACCGCAGCACTGCGTTGTTGATCTTAGTCATGTCTTCATGAGAAGGTTCATTCTTGTCGTGAAAGTCGAACGTGGGCTGCAGCGCATGGTGAGCAGCCCATTCCTGCAATTTTGTCACGTAAAGAGCTCTTTGCTCCTCTGTAAGAGGTAGCATGAATCTGTGCTCCCAATACGGTCAGTGTACAGCAAAAAAAGAAATCGATATAACGTGTACTCACACAGAAGACTCGACGTCTACGGCCGCGCCGTCCTTCAAAATGTTTGTAATAGTTGCTGTTGTCTGCTGCTTCACATCTTCGGAGGGTTGAAGTGTGTGGCACTGCTGTGATGAGATGAACGCGTAGTCAAAGAGACCGGTGTAGCGCTTTTTGGAGAATAAGTCCTCTACATTCCCTGTCAGTGGAATGATCTGCAGTCGGAGAAGGATAACAATTTCAGTGAGTAGAGTCTGAACAGCACTACGCAAACTCGGCAGTAGAAGCACCTTCACGCCCTGCAATGTTTCCTTGATTGTTTCTGCGCATCCTTGAGCAGCCACGTGTTGCTTACGAAGTTCCCTGGCGGTGACAAAGCGCAACGGTTAGTATAAATTAATGCACAAGACAAAGCGAACTCTGCGTGCTTTTCAGTTATTTTTGACTGATCCGTGTCCTCGTTGAGCTCTTCAAACCGCGGGACTAGCTTGTCGTCTGAAGGTGTTCCTTCTGCGTCGCCAATTCCGCTGAAGATGTCGTGTTCCTAGCGTGAAAGATATATAACCATAGTCCAGTGCAAGTGAATAGGGAAGGACTTTACAAAGTCTTTGGCGTACCTTTCCCATCTGATATCTTTTTCCTGTCTCGATCTCGTACAAATATGACAACACATTGTACACTGCAACTTCGACAGTATTCTGTTGCAAACATTGACAACAGTGAGCACCACGACAAGATCGACTTCAAATCAACACGTACGTGGCGATTCTGCTCGACCCCCGTGCCTTTGTTGTGAATTTCGAAGAGTTGCTCCACGAATCTGTTGGGCTTTTCGCAATGGACTCCGAATGAAATGTATGGGCTCACAATGATATCCGTCCACAAGCCTCTGCACAGGACAGATCCATGGTGCTTTTTCTTTGCCTGTCATTTTAAACGATGATCACAGACGTCAGACCGTTAATTATGCGCTGACTGGTTTGAACGGCCAATACCTCTGTGTACGCTGCCATTGTGCGATTTGGCACCGTATAGGTTTGGTCGCCAAATTCGAACGCCACACCAGTGTTTCTCCAATCACGGTACTGGCGAATGTGAATGACACTGGCGTTCTCGATTTTCTTGAGCTTCATCTATCGAGAAGAACGGCAAACAAAGTCATAAATCATGGTACAGCAAAGAAGCAGCTTGCCCTAGCATACAGTGTAATCCCAGTCAATGAGGTTATCGCGATAGTCGTAGCGAACTTCGTAATAGTGACGAAGACGATGATCCAGAAGCGTGTCCACTACGAAAAGGATGTTGTGAGTTAGAAATACCATCCAGTTATCAAGTCGATCCCTCCCGTACCGTTAAACTTGACACTCTGAAACCAGCTTCGGAACGAGTCGATGAGATCATCATGAGTGCGCATCTTCAAGTGGGAGAGATCAACCAGGCCTGCCAATGAACCGCGGTCATTGTAGACGAAGTCTATGAGTAGCTTCGCCTGTTCTTCAATATATACACTCGTCCTCTCCTTCACATACCAATATTTAAAGAAACAGGTCGTGAATCTATCTATCGTTAAAGGCGTTTGTCCTTGATAGCCGTAAGTACGTACTTGCACTCGAGAATTACCAAAAATTTCAAGAAACAAGTTGCAGCGCTGACGCAGCGGCAGGTTTGTATCAAACGCAACTTGGACCAACAGCAAATCTCGCGACAGCGTCTCGATAGCCTTCTCGAAAATGTAGATATGCACCGGTCGATGCTTCATGGCTGGCTCCCATCGCCGCCTACATGAGATCGTCGCTAGCACATGGCGAACATCTCCAGGTCCCGCCAGCAACACGTTGATCGGCTGATTAGATACTTTCTGCTCGTCGTCATCGGAATTGACCCAAGAGCTCTTGCCCTTATTCCACTCCGACAGGCCGCTGCACACGTCGTAAGCGGGCGAGAAGCCCCACATATTGACGGTGCCCATACTCATCATTAGCGCGCTGTTAGTGCGAGCCATCCTTGCTCTCGTTGCACGTACTCACGAGTTGTGCTCATGGAGGGACGCAAAAGTCGACCACCGAAAGATACTTTTCGATCTTTCTCCTGCGTAATCAGATCAAGCGGTACATTGTACCAGATCCAGATTGGAGGAATTCGCTACGAGCAAGCCATGCAGTGCCTTCTTGTTGGCCTGGTGCTGCTGGCAGCGACAACGCAATGTGTCTCTCGCTCCGTCTCGGTGTATGATGCGAAGGGACTCTTCGCCGACCGCCTGACTCAAGAGGACCGCGCTCGTCTACTGAAGTGTCCGTGCAGCTCTGCGTCTCTGTGTCTACCTGTCGATTTCGCTGGCAAAAAGACACGGAAGGAGATATTCGCTTTTTCAGTAGCGACTGATGACCGCTGGAAACAGTACGACTGGGAGCAGGTGCGCATTATGCTGATGCTGTTGTGTGGCGCCATATTACTGACAATGGTTGCGTCACCAGCTCACGACGGTGGCCTGGAACGAAGACAAGGAGTTGCTGTGTCACGCGCACAGCAAAGGCGTGAAGATCGTGGTGAAGCACAACTTTGACGATGTAAACCAACTCTGCAACGTCAGCGCGCGACAGGAATGGATCAAGGTTCAGTGTCAATGTACTTCATTGAGAGCAACTGCTTGTAGTGCGCCTATTGAATGCTGTGATTGTGTTTTACAGACAACGTACAATATGATTGTTGAGAACTACGCGGACGGTGTTAACATCGATACGGAGAAGCCTATGCATGGAGAAACTTCGAAGTGCCTCGCCTCGCTCGTGCACGAGCTGCGTCATGAGCTAGAACAGCATGCCTTAACGCAGAACGCGCAGGTTTGTCATTGTCAGCATAATTCTCTCAGCTTGATCAATCGCGTCAGTGCTAACACCTTGCGCTCGACCTGCACAGATCACGTTTGACGTACCCTGGGCTCCTCGAGGCGTGGATGGCCGCTACTATCCATGGAGTGAACTTGCCGCCGCCTCGGACTTTCTGTTCGTTATGTCATATGACATGCGCAGTCAAATATATGACGCCTGCGTTGCAGGTGCCAATTCTCCCTTGGCGCTGGTGAAGCAAGGGCTACAAGAGTTCCTATTCGCGAACGACATTGCACCGAGCAAGTTGGTGCTCGGTGTCCCATGGTATGGGTACCGCTACCCATGCTTACAGGAGCAACAGGGCGCCGCAGCAATTGACGACGCGTCGTGGTGCCAGATCCGACCGGTACCCTTCTTCGGTGCCCCCTGCAGTGACGCGGCTGGTGGACAAATTGACTATGGTGACATCCGACGACTGGTGAAGAGCCACGGGCTCCTGGAGCAATGGGATCCGACAACACTGACCCCGTTCGTGTGGTATTCGCCACCGGAGGGCGGACGGTACCAGATTTGGTTTGACAACCCGCGCAGTCTCAAAGCCAAGTACGCACTTGTGTGCGAACTTGGACTACGCGGTGTGGGCATGTGGAATGCAGACACTTTAGACTACACTGCGGTTAACGACTCTCAGACCATGTGGAGCTCGCTGGCTGAGGCGCTGCAACCGTGAATGGCTCCAGCAGCCAAAAGGCATGGAGCTGGTAAATATCCTGATTTCGTTGCAGTTGTGTGAAAACATGTCCCGCATGATTTCTCGATAGTTTCCACGTTTCTATCGGCGTATGCCACACGATAGCGCGCATCTTGCAAAAGCGAAACGGCCGTTTTCGACCGAATCCTGCACGAAAGCGACAAGAAAGAAGCCTGCATGACATTTGTATATATTCAGCAATATATTCCTCGCTTATAGTACCAGTAACGGCAAGAAGCCACTGTGTTTGATTGGCATCGCTGCTCTCACGCTTAATGCTGTGGCCGTTATTTTGACGGCAAAGGCCGTTTCGCAAAAGATTCGTTGGATATCGGTTTCACTCGCTGATCGATTAGATCTTCTGTCTATAATATCTCAAGCAAAAAAAAGAAATAGCAGTTCTTTATGCGCGGATCCACTTCATCGGGTAGCATTGGAGGAAGCACACCATAATTATTTCTACAGCTTTCGTTCTAACTACTATAGTAGTAGAAGACTCAAGAATTAAGTAACGACCTCTCGTCCCGAAGTGACTTTGCCTCAGATCGGGAAGATTTTGAAATGTATGGGATATTGGTACTACCAAGTTGGTACAGCCAACAGCTCTGATACTGCCGCGTAGAAGGAAAGTTCTCAAGACAAATAAACTGATTTCATGGTGGAGACGAGAGAAGATGAGAAAGTTAGCTAAACTATCAAATCAGCATGAATTCGATCGATTTATTATGCCGCACGAGTGCTCCTGAGCAGCTTTGTCTTTGATCGCCAGTCTTCCAAAGCGCGAACTAGCGGCTTTGTCTCGTTGTCCGGCTCAATGTCTTAACCCAACTGTAAATATATCGCCAAACTCATACACACCGTTCACTTAGACTTCGTTGAAGCAGATGGAGATCATACCAGGCTTTCGGCTTTGGGACAATGAGGCGCTCCACCCGGCTCCACGGGGTCCCAGTTCGGCGTGCTCTGGAGCACGGTGGCCATCAACGAGAGGAGATTGGTCAAGAGAGGTGCACATTGAACGCCCCAAGTTGAATAAGGTGCTACGATGGCTACCCTCTCTCCATCGGCCATTAAAACAATGTTTTGTTCATTTCACAAGCATTGAAAACATGAATTCATACTTAAAGGGTCATTTTTATGCTTAAAAATGGTAAAGTTGATCAGAACTGTGCTGTGGATACAAGGTACAAGTTCGTAGGAAGGACAGTTTTAAGGGGTGCGATAGTTTTGAGTACAGTCTGCTTCTACTTCTGTACTATCGGGCGCGAAAAATGAGTCCGGTACGGCGATATAGGAGCGATACATTGCCAGCACTGTCGCTAAAATCAGACTATGCATAGTAACTTTCGTAGGGAGTGAGCCCTTCTTTTTTACTTTTTTGCCAAAAATTGTAGAATACTGTAGAATATGCCAAAAAAAAATCTTCATGCTCTAATTCGGGAGCATCGGGAAATTCCCTAAATAAAATACGAAAGATCCTGAAAGGGCGTAGGATGATGGGCAGCTGACGTGGAAGATCCTCATTTTAGAAATAGAAACCACGCGCCGTTTCCGTCGCGAAAAGCTCCGTTTCTAACTAGGTGCAAGGTGCGTTGCTGGACTTCCATTTCCAGATTTACCAGCAGTCGCCAGTTCCTACCGCTACGTCACCCACGCTAGTTAAGATGGAGATGGAGCTGCCAGCCACGCCCACGCCCACCGATTCGAGGATGCACCTCACTTTCCAGTCACCCACGGCCGATAAGGCACAGCAGTCGCTGCGGATGCAGATGGCTGCCCACAACTTCAAGAAACGCGCGGCATGCGACTCGCCCGTAGCTTCGGACGACTCGGCGTCGCCACTTCCTGTGGCCACGTGCAACTTCGCGGCTTTGAGTCGCCACTTCCACCTCCCACTCAAGGTAGCGGCCGAGAAGTTCGGCGTGCGCGCCACAGCCTTCAAGAAGCGCTGCCGAGCTATCGGCATCCGCCACTGGCCTTACCGCAAAGTGCGCAGCCTCAAGCGCTCGCTACAGGAGCTGGAGCAGTGCCAGCAACAAGCCCAGGATGGTTCTGGCCCGCCGCTCTCAGACAAGCAGCTGCGCCAGTTCGCAGGCTACCAGAGCCAACTCAAGCGCCTCCTGTCACCCGAGACGTACGGCATCGACCCTTTCGGTCAGATTCTGCCCGCTCATTTCTTCCAAGGCGACGCCGACACCCCAGACGACCACGACTCGGACGAGGACTCGTGCGGATCGCAGAGTCCGCGGCCGAGCGTCGAGCGCTTCGTACACAGGAACAAAGCTCGCAAGCATCTCTTCACAGACTCACCGTCCTCAGCCTCCTCGCCGCACCGCGACAACATGTTCTTCGGCAATCCCATGGCCATGAACGCAGCCGCCGAATACAGCCGAGCGCAGTTCAACCAATACAGCCAAGCGGGCATGATCCCCGCTCAAGTGGGCTTCGTCTTCGACACTATGTACGACCCCTTCGGAGAGCTCAGCACCTCCACCATGGACCCATACGGCGAGAATGACCACCCGTCCTGCGGCTACTCCCTTGACGCCGTCTCATACGACCTCTTCCCATTGCAACCGTCGCCAACTATGGCTATGCGGAAAGCCACTGCAACGACTCAACAGACAGCTAGCACCTCCAACCGGGAGGAACCGTCATCTATCGCGCCAAGTGGAGTTGAGGGACTGGAGGATGATATCTTCCGCCACATCTCCCCCGAGTATGGCTGCCTTGTGTAAACAGCGGCGATAGATGTATCGGCAGTCAGCTTAGTTTACTCCGCGGTCTTCATTCTTTTTGCACGCATCTTCCTTTTTTTGCATGGAGCATTAAATTATTCCAAACGATATTAATAAAAAAAACGACTTCGCATCCGCCAGCCTACTCTCTTAGTATGTGATAGCTACAACTTATGTCTGCTGCATCCGTGCATGCAGTAGCATCTGCATGAAGTCTGCAGCTTGTCGGTATACCGCGACTACCATCGCAGCATCGGGGTTCTCAACGCTCAGCAGATTCGGTACCATGACAATTGCTGCAACATACACAAGTCTTTAGCAAGCTGGCCAAGAGTTAACATGATGGAAAGAAAGGTAGCGCACCCATGCTTTTGGTGGTCATCTTGTTCTCGTTCTCATGCTTCACAACTTCGTTCAGCAGGTCTAGCAGCCACAGCACTACGCTTTGATGTAGTGGTGGTAAAGCCGTAAGAGAATGCAGCACAACCTCGGGTTTCGGATCCTATTGCCAGACAACTCGTTAGTCTCATCATCGTTCATGCCAAAGTAGCCATCCTTTTCCTACCTTAAGTTGGCAAGTGTGCGCGATCAGCTGCTCTGGAAGCATGTTGAACAGACTAACTGGAAGCTCTCGAAACCAACCCTGTCCGCAATAGAAAAAGAATGAGAAGCCAATACCAAGCCATGGTGTCTATCATTGCTGCCAAACCTTGATGAGCGAAGCCATGATGTGAACATCGGAGCAGTCCTCGAACGATCCGTCATTGATGGCAGCTTTGATCGCGTTGTACTCTTGTTTGTCTGGTGCCAGGCGAAACACCCCTTCCGTTGTAGTTCCGTCGTGCGCTAGAAAGCAGGTCTTCATCATTTCCAGCACAGCAGGTAGTTTGGTTTCGTACCCTTTGACTTCGCGCTTGGGAACCTTTTCGAGCGGCAACCCAAACTGTTGGTTTAGTGTTCGCCATGCATCTGGTAGTCCTTCGTATCGTGCATGCTCTACGTCATAGGTGATGTGAATCTCCCCTCGAGTCTTGTACGGACGACTGATCCAGTCTCCACTCAAACGCTTCGTGAACTGCGCCTCCATGCCCAAGACGTCGCCAGTCTCGAGAAGGACGACAGAAGAAGTCGCGACTTCGTTTGCATCTTCATCTACTTGATTGTTGACTTCACTTACCAATGAAGAAGCGTCCTCCGGTCCAAGGAATGTGTTAGGTTTCCAGGACGTGGCTTCCGCTTCTTCTTGCTGCTGTTCCTTGACCTCTTCCAGCTGTGTTGGATAGATTGTAAGTTGCCTAGCTCTTCGTTCTGAGCAGGAAGATGACGGAGGCGTCGATTCTGACAGGGAGTTCGATATACGTGACGGGAGGTGGTTGCTGTGTAAACCGACGCCCTGCCACGCCATGATAAGCTACATCAAAATCAGAGAGCGTGCTTCAAGTCTAAGCATATAAGGACACACGACGTACGCCTTGGAGATCAACCTTAGCACGTATCAACTTCCTGACGACCTTCAAGACACCTGAACAAAAAGGCACATGATGTTAATAGAGAGGGATCCAGTGAACGAACATTCGTATTTCCGACCTGGATTGGTCAGGACATGATCGACGATACGTGAACACTCGATGGCTTCAGTCGCGGAACGGAATTGAAACCCGTACGTGCAGCCGTCGGCGCCTGTAAGTCGACGCAGGGTCCTCTTATCGCTAGCATGTTGCCACCAGCGGCAACCGCTACCAAGAACATCATTCACGACAACTGCGCCAGACTCCAGAATCCACACCACAATACGGAAACGCGCATGGCCGTCGATTTCAGCGCAAATGTGGATCTGCGCCCACGCCCCGTACGATATCGGCTCCCAGACGCACGGGGACTGAACTCTGTGACTCGCTTCAGATAACGGTGTATTAGTTTCTGGACCAGGCTCTGGTCGGTATCGATGCACTGCCGCAATGGTCGTATACAACACCGCCTCACTTGACATGAGCGATAAAGTGAGTGTCACACGAGCTCAGTGAGGCGCAGATGAAGAAATACCTCGTGTTGACGGCCTGAAGAGCAACCTCTTGCTGCACCGAATCTGTGATGCCATTGCTTCATGGACGACTTCAGTAGACGAAACGGCTTCTACTCCAGGCGTTAATCCGTTGGTGGGATGCAACTTCATGATGCCGCTTGTCGTTGCTGAACACACACGAACGCGAAACGTTCCGGATAAGGAGCAAGCAAGCGATCACATTGCAATCCATTAGGTCTATATGGGTGCAGTTCCTACCGACACTCAAGCCGCCGTTGCTAAGACTCGTCCTCGACTTCTTCCGTCTTCTCCCGAGCTTCAATCTCGCTCAGCATGAGTTGGTACTTAGTCACCACACGCTGCAACGCGCGATTAGCTGCGATTGTGGGCAGGATGTGTAACTTCAGCACGTCCCGTTTTACGAGGTCCTGTATTAATAACCACACTAGAGTTAGTCGTCGGAATCCAGTGACGATTTGGCCGTTGCGACGAAACGGAGCTACGTACCAGCACCATCGGCTCCCACTCGCTGCCTACATCTGATGTGGAGTTCTCGTCATCCATTGCAATCGGCGACGACGGCCTACAGAACACAACACGTGAAATTAGTATAGGCAGAAAGGCCCCTTTATCGACCACGTTAGCAGCGAAAGCACAAAGCTTACGCGTGGAATGGACCCATCATTTCAGCACAGAGATCGTCCAACCGAGTGACATCCTCGTCATGTGTGAGGAACCTCGCATACGCCTGTATCCTGTGGTAATTCAGAACATATCAGCAATAAATCTTAATCTCCTTTGCAAAGCCTGAACATACCAATACCGATACTCGGCAGAGCTCTTCAATATGATCGCAGTGGCAACTTGGTGCTCGAGGTGCGAGCGTGTCACGTTGCGCTGCATCAGCGGGTCCGACATAGTCGAAAGCATTGCCGACGCGATTCCTCTCTGGGTCCGGCCATAGCCAGACGCGTTTTGAAGCCGTCGTAATGGCCCGATCTGCCGTCCATAATGCAAGTTACACGGTTAGCTACTCGGTACATGATCGGCTGGACAAAATACTATAAGCGCCTCCGTACAGGAACACTTTTGACTGTGACTGCATCTGTGGGTAAGGCAGACGCAAAATCCGAGAAAACGAAGCTATCGTCCGCCACCCGCATCCTACAACAAATAAGACCAAAACATTAAATCACGATCGACTTCTAACTAGAGCAGGAAAATGTCCGTACCATGATGACATTCCAGTGTCGAATGTGTATGAGAGCAAGCTGGAGTTACCTTTCGTTTCCGAGTTGGACTCTGCAAACGTGATAAGCGGCATTCCTTTTGTCGTCACTTGACACCGGAGAAGTGTCAACTTCCGATGGTCTTCTGGCGTGATCTACCGACACAACACACGACAGAAATCAGAAATAATATCCACCTTAATGAAAATTGGAGAAGGCTAACTCACATTTGTAATTGCCTCGATGGAGCTTGAGAGCACGAGCTTGCGCTCCGCTAGATTCCAGATTTTGAGATCACCTGTCGCCAGAATTACCAACAGATAGGGCGACTCGCTCGCACTGCACTCCATTACTGAGATGGCACTACCCAAAGCTGGAAATGAACAACGAGGCAACGTTAGTTTCTGAGCGATCAAATCAAGTATATAAGCTGATATACACACCAATAGCAGGAAACAGTCGTCGTCCGCTGCTGTTGAGTACAAGAAGGTCGCCATTGTGTACACCGATAGCACAATAACTCGCGTTTCCCACTGCACACACGGCTCGGCCCGGAATACGGTCGATCCACTTGACTTCGCTACCGTCGGAGCATTTAATAGTCGAATAAACTGGGCCTAATTCTGCATAGCAGCGCGATAATCCACAATATCAGCGGTCATTCGTACACATCAGAGAGTTACAATCAGCACACTTTACCTATGACTTCTTCTGGCTGGGGATTCTTCAGGTTATGAACAGTAACTTCCACCACCGCTTTCGGAGATACCAATCCACTTTCTGTTCTACCGTTCGAGCTGGGGTTTGCCGCATTGGATCGTGTCGATGCGTCGATTTCTACAGAAAACTGCAGTCTGAATGGGAAATCAGGAAGCAGCTGGCCACCTCTGGCCACTCCAGCACTGCTGCACGTGCAAGTTAGTATCTGTACCACGTACTGAATTTTATACAGCATTCAACAAACCTTTCATTCAGGAGCTTCGGAGGCCGCGCAACAACTTCCCTCGACTTTGCAACCACAGTAGTGGTGTGAATTGGAGGACGCTCACTTTCTCGTTTTCTCTTAAGAGAATTTCCGTCGACCCCGTTTTTCTTCACTTCCATCTTCGACGGTTTAGAATGGGCATCGGTTGTCTTCGACATAGCGGGTTTTTCCTTGGGAGCGGGTCCTGTCTTCTCGCTATGGCTCGGCGCAGAACTCGACGAAAGCTTTGCAGAATTGTTCGTGTCGGGGGCAACGCTAACCTCCTTTCCACTTGTTGACGCCATGCGAGAATCCAAGAGTGTCACGTCCGACGCTGTAGGTGACGAGATTGTCGGGCCCAAGATATTGCGGATATTGTTATGTGATGAGGCGGGATTGTTGGCTAAAGATTGCGCGTCAGCTTGAAGGAGCACCGGAGCGATCCGCTTTTTGTCGCTTGCGTTCGTTCCAGGCGGTAATTTGCTTTGAAGCGCACTAGATGCTTGTGTGCCAAGCTTCTTCTTCTTCTTTGGAATGAGGGTGTTTGTTGTGTGGGCTACAACGGGAGCAGCAATTGTACCAGAACTCTGACTGACAGCCAAACGTGGTGAAGTTGTCGACTTTTCTTCAAGCTAGGCACAGCATAATATGATTAAATAAGTAGCCTTGTCCCACATCAACCGACTCAAGTTTAAACGTACCTGAAGTTGAATTGGATTCTCCACAAGAGTCGATGCAAGGGTAATGCCGGCACGGGATCCATACTTTATGTCGAGCAGAGGATAAGGTATGGAGAGAATGTCAGGCTCTAAATGATACAATGCCCACGGAATCACGAAACAAACCTTTGCCTGAAGAAGTTTACTCTGCTGCGCGTCAGAGATCGGAGTACCAATCTCGTCGCCTGCGAACTGAAAGCAGCAGATAGATCCATCGAGCGAGCACGCGAGAAGAAGTGACTGGGAGCTAGACCAAGTGAGATCTGTGACTGATGAATCAAAGCAATCCTTGATCACCGCCAATGGGCGAGCTAGATGTGCCAGCCAGATGCTTACAGTCGCATCTTCACCACCCACAGCGCAGCATGCGAATTCCTTATCCGGATCTGCCTTTGTTACTGCAGAGCAATACGATAACAAGATGATTAGAACGCCATTATATCCTCGGCGCACTTGATCAACGTACCCAGTAATTTAGGGTTAAATCGTGCACTGGTCACGACGCCCTGATGACCCACAAACTTGAGATCGTTTGTCCAGGATCCGCGGTTAAGCAGTGACGCGATGTTTTTCTTGGAACTGAAGGCGTGTGTGGCACAGAGGACCGATCCATCAGGAGACCACGAAAGCCGACGGAAGTGTGAAGTGGAAGCACACCCCTCGAACGGTTCCGTCACGACGTCGGACTGCTGCCAGTCAGCTACCTTCCACATCCGCACCGTTTTGTCCTCTCCAGCACTCGACAGATACTACAGCAAGCATCGATCAGAAACCTCAACACCATTTACAACCGTCACTCCACACAGTCACCTTGCCAACAGGATCCCACGCAACGCCCTTGACCCATCCGTTGTGTCCTGTAAGCGTCTGCAGTGGTTGCGTCATGACTTCACTCACTGCACCCACGCCAACGTCCCAGATCAAAATGGTATTGTCGATACTACAGGTTGCCAGCATCCGATCGTCCGGCGACCACGCCACGTCCGCCACATCTACAAACAGTTGCCAGCATTTAGCACCATAACCAACCAGTCTTCAGAGTGCAGGACTCTGCACTCAGTCTCGTCTCACCCATCGTGTGCCTCTCGAGTGTGGAGCAGCGTACCCAGTTCTGCTTGTTGGGTCTTGCGTTGGAGCCGAAGGGGACAGGAGCTGGAGCACCTGCTTGTAGTTCATAGAGCAGCACCAGTTGGTCGTCCGATCCTGAGGCCAAGTAGCGACCATGGCCTGCCCAGCGCACACAGTTGACGGCCTGTTGGTGGTTCGCCAATGTAGCCAGCAGCTCAAAGGTGGCAATTCCTCCCTCGGCTGGCGTCTGCAACGACCATATCTTTACTGTGTTGTCTCCACCTGCCGTCGCAAAAAGCTGCAGCGTCGGGTGCGCGTCCACACCGTAGATGGCGCACACTGTGCAGCATTTCGACAGGTCAGAACGCAGCAACGCGAGCGAGTACAAACACCGCGAGTACGGCGTCAGTTAGGCCAGTTTCTTGGTAATATAACGAGCGCGTACCGGTACCCGACGAATTCTCGTGTTTGACGTCCTCGGGCTTCTCCAGCAGCATGTCTTGTGCGCTCTTCAGGTTGGCGACGATGCGGTTTTGAACTTTACCTGCGTTAGAAAATATATATGATTTGAGAGGTAATTGAGTCTAATTGTAGCCATGTGTCATGAATATGGGTACAAAGTTGTTGAAGTGTGATGCAGACGTTCCTAGTAGCGGTAGTCTGCCTGTTGCTGTCATGGGCGAGCTCAACGGTGGCGATCACGCGGAACGAGCGTGGCGCGTTAAAGCTGCTGTACTGGGCTACACAGGGCCAACGTTGGGTTGGGCAATGGGACATCCAGAACGACCACAGCGACCCGTGCCTCGACAACGTTCGCAACCATGTTTCTTCACTGTTATTTTTTTTACTTACGTCTTATTCTGTTAATGATCTAGTGGTACGGCATCGTGTGTGATCGGAACGGCCGGATTCGGGCCATGTAAGTGGACCTTATCAGTGCAGTTCCCTTTGGAGACTTAACTTCTGCTATTTGCTACCTATTGCAGCCGCCTAGCGAATAATAATCTCGTGGGCGTCCTGCCGCAGCAATTCCCTCGCAAGGACCTTAGTGGCCTGCAAGAACTGTGAGTGTGTTTGTGCTCTACCGAGAGCGTCTAAACCTATTCGAGATGGATTGCGGTTGCAGAGACCTAAGTTCCAACTTCTTGACTGGTTACGTGCCCGACACGCTATCTCAACTCGGTGCATTGCGAACGCTGCGCCTCGATCGTAACCACTTCGTGGGAGCAGTTCCAGCATCGTTAGCACAACTGACCAGGCTGGAATTCCTGTAAGTATCCGATTGTCCACGATTGCTGCATTATTTGCTGACTGGATTACAGTGAACTGCAAGAAAATAAGTTCGACCCACTCAACTCGAACGGAGGTGTACTGCCTGAAGAAGTTCAAAAGCTCACAGAACGACAGCACTGTCACATTATTTCATGAAAACAAAAGAAACGAACTTCATTTCCTCATTCTCCTTACACCTGCGGTGTGCAGCGTAATCATCGGCGTCGTCGTCGTAGCTTAGTCATCATCGTCGTCGTCGCTGCGGTGATGATGGTGATGATGATGGCGAAGGATACGTGGTGTAAACTCCTTATCTTGCTTTGGTTTTTTTTCCAGCGAGTTTCAGAGAAAGCTTCATGTTACCGGAATCTCTTTTTTTTTCTTTGATTTTAATTGAAAAAACAAGTTTTAAAGTTTCATACAGTGATGGTAGAAACAGCATCATAGAACGTCGACAGCAGGTGTAGATGAGGCACCTGCTGCATCTTGATTCGAGTAGGCGTGCAGACAACCATCATCAGTCAATTTGGAGGCACCGAGCATGCGTACAGTAGAGAACGGATCCACGACGAGGTCTAAAAGACCAGCCGCCAGCTCAGCGCGGGGCTCCACATTAAACACCCGACCGGCCGAGTTGAAGTGGAATCGCGATACGAACGGGAAGTCGTAGGTCTTGCCGACAAGACGTTGTACCATTTCTTCGTCGGCCAGGAGCGGCTGGAAGAAATGTTTGATGGTGTCACGTGAGATTCGCAGGGTGCTGCGTCCAATGCATTGGACAGGATACACGTCCGGATCGTCGCTCTCCAGTGGCTGGATCTGTTCACAATGAAGTGTAATCTCCGCGTGATAGCGCGAATAGTTGTGCCATTGCATCAGGAACGTGTCCAGGTCGCGGAACGCAGGAGATTGCACGTCCGGTAGCATCATGCTTCGCAGCAGTGCCTCAACCTCCCACGCATTGCTGCGGGTTGGGTCGTATCCGTGCGAGAAGCTGCGGTAGTATGAGTGCACTTTATCCGCTACGAGTTGCATGGCATTCGCACGACGCGCGAGGTGCAGTGCTGAGAGCAACGCCTGTCGTCTTTCGAGAACCAAGACTTGCTGGCGCATACGCTGCATCTCTTGCCTCGCTAAGATCTCGCGCCGAGTCTCAGTCTGGTTCGCGGCGGGCTTCGAACTCTGCACGCGTCTGAAATGCCGATTTGCAGGGCCAAACTTGCTCAGCGTACGGCAGTTCTTGGACACCCGTCGGACGCGTCGCCGGCGCTTGTGTGTAGCGAGCGCTTCGGCTTGTATGGTTGCCTGGGTAATCTCCTTTTCTAGCGCCGCCATGTACTGCGGAGAGTGATCCACGGGCCCTGGGTTCGAGATAACTAGCGCGACGGCGGAAACGTCGTTGGCGACAACTTCTTCATCAGGCCACTCGTCGGCAACACGCACCGCTTGAGACTCTGCAGCACAAATTGTCCATCGCGTTTGGCTGCGTTTGTTGAGACTTGACAGCATGGCTGCAGCTTCGGAAGTGATCGAAGAAGCGGCCGAACTATTTTGGCGTCCTCGGCAAACGAGTCGTTTAACAACTGACCACTAAATCAACCGATAGAATTAATCCATGAACGAGGAGACACCAGCGCTGAAATGCTCAACGCACTCTTCTTCCTTTCACAGTGCGACATCATCAAAGCTACGAAGCTAACATGTAAGTTAGCAGTTCCCTTGGGCAAGACAGACGAGCATCAGGCAGATAAAGGAAGATCTCGCCGCATGTTGAGCTTTATTAAACGTGGCAGCTGAACGCCTCGTTTCAGTGGGTCGCGCGTGTAACTGCGTCCGTCACGTTCACCAGGAATCCTGGTAGGATTGAAGCGTTGGTGAGATGAAATTCCCCACGGGGCCCAGTTGCAGAGAAGACTACCTCAGCACTTGTTTGAGTATGGTCACCGCTCAACGATAGTAGTCTTCCCCAACGGCTCCCACTAAGAAGACATTTTGAGCTCCATTAAATGGACAAATTTTGTGCTTTGGGCCCGTCGCATAGTCTGATGAATGAAACTTGAAAATTTCGCAATTCAAACCTCAAATTTCGCCCTGGGCCAGTCATCTTTTCACTTGACACGCATCACCTGCCGGCCATGAGCGAGCTGTATAAAGAGGCCGCAGCTCTACTGGCGAAGCTGGAAAAGCGTCAGGGCGGCCTCAAGAGTCTAGCGTATGCAGATTCCACAGTGCACAAGCGCAGCTCATTTGCGCTGGTGTGCGAGACGCTGCGCTATAAACCGCTGCTGAGAGAGCTCCTTGCGGCAGTGCCTGAGTGCCACAAGGCGCTGAAGACGCCCAAGAACGCCAAGGAGCCGCTTGCGCTCGTGTTCGTGGCGCTTTATGACCTTCTGTTTGGCCGTAAAAAAATCCAGGGCGGTGGCTACGTTAAGAAGGCGCTAATGCAGCACCAGACGAGCTTCCGCGCGGCTCTGGCGAGACTCAAGATCAAGCGCAAGGTGGCGTCCAATGAGGCGCTCCTACCGCCCGAGAACCGCCAGCAGCACCTTGCACTACCTCGTTATGTGCGTGTCAACACGCTGCTGGCTTTACCCGAAGAGGTTGAGGCCTTCACGCGCGAGTACGACGCCAAACAAGACCGAGATGTGCGCGACCTGCTCGTGCTACCGTCAGGCACGGAGCTACACGAACATGAGATGGTCAAGAGTGGTAAACTGGTTCTACAGGATAAGGCCAGTTGCTTCCCGGCCTTTGTGCTACATGGAGAGCACGCCGACCCTAGGGACAAGCAGGGCGACGTGATCGACGCATGTGCCGCGCCTGGTAACAAGACCAGTCATCTGGCGATGCTGCTGCAGCAACAGGATAGCGACGGAGGGGACGGCACGATCCCCAAGCGACGAGTATTTGCATTCGATCGATCACCCAAGCGACTGGAGTTGCTGAAGCGTCGAATGAAGCTTGCAGGTGCTGCTACTAGAGTACAGGCCGAGCTCCAGAGCTTTTTGGAGGTGCCTGTGGACGGTGAAATGTACCGCAACGTCCGCAGCATCTTACTGGACCCGTCTTGCTCTGGTTCAGGCATGACAAACCGTCTGGATCACTTGCTGGATATTGCCAGTTCACATGATACGGTACTGGAACCCGATCATGGCGCGGAATACGAGGAGGACACGGCGAAACGCTTGCAATCACTTGCAGATTTCCAGCTAGAGGCGCTACGTAAAGCATTTTCGTTTCCACAGGTCGAGCGTGTCGTGTACTCGACCTGCTCCATTTTCCAGAAGGAAGACGAGGAGGTTGTCGCGGCAGCGCTTAAATCAGAAGAGAACATTCGTGCGGCGCGTCCGTTTGTACTGAAGCCCGCTCTTACGTCGTGGCCACGCCGTGGGCTCGAGGTTGCAGGCCTGACGGCTGAGCAGGCCAAGGCGCTTGTGCGTGCGAACGGCCTCGAGGACTCGACGAACGGATTCTTTGTGGCGTATTTCGAGCGAACTGACAGGCCTGATGGATCAGAAGGAGAGAAGAAAATCAGTGAGGATTCCCCACTAACTATCTCAAAGGACGACACGACAGAATCCGACACTACTTCACAAACGGGTAAAAAGCGCAAAGCCTTGTCTGCCACTCAAAAGGAAAATCGTAAACGGCGGAAACATGAGAAGCGCAAGAAGCACGGCAAGGCGAAGTCAGGAACGACAAGCAAAGAAGACGAAGAAGAGTAAATAACACTTTTTGCTCCTTTAGATCCTAGCAGTGTTTGTTCCTGTTCCACTCGTGCATATGCCAGACTGCGTTACCTCGAGGCCCAAATTATCAAGGCTGCTTGTTACTCTGCTGCGAGTTTCGCGGCCTACTGAGTTAGCCGTAAAAGATGTCGAACTTGCTGAGTCCGGACTCCGGAGTTGGTGGTCTTGTCATTCGTTAAAGAAAGCAGGCTCGTGGATAGAAGTGATCGCCGAGGAAATCAAGCTAATACGGCATGTTCGCAAGACCAGGTCATTTCATTTGTAGTCACGTACAAAGCGTCAAAGCCCTGCTTATAATTCAAACCTCAAGCATATCCGGTTGCTCTCATATATGCGGGAGCTCAACAACGTGATGAAGCTGTTGTTGCTTCAGGTGTATAATTTCATGCAGCTGGTGACCACTTTCCATCGTCTCCAGAGCTCGAAGCCGCCGCTTAAAGTACTCTGTAGCTTGCGCATCCTTCTGCCGCTCAATCTGCTCGAGCTTGCTGTTACTTTGGGATACAACGAGGTCATATTGGCGTCGAGCGTCAGGCACTAGGTTAGTCTTGGCGAGCAATCGGCGATCATTCGCTGCCAATTTCTCCTGCTTCTCGCGCAGCCACTCCACACGTGCACCATCCTCTTTTCGATAGTCACCTGCGACAGCAGCCATAGCCAACTCCAACTCCTTCAAGTAGTTCATACCTCCAGTACGCTGTAGAATACGCACTTGCCACCTTGCACACGCTGAAAGGTGCATGATAGTGTTCGTGATCACTCCACTAGTCCTTTGTTGACGTCTACGCTCTCTCTTATCGGGGTAAGTATTGTTGAGCTTCAAAACTTCTGATGATGGTTCTGACGACACACGAATCCCCACTCCACGCTTGAGATTTCTGTCGTATACGAGCGCAAAGTCACTAAGAACAAGGTATACTGTTGAGCAATTCACCATGGCATCGTTGACGTCTTGTTCGTTGTCTAAACTACCATGACGGACATTTTCTGCCCTCTCACGTATTAGTTGCTCGTGTTTTGGAGGACTGTACCGCACAAACCGCCAGCGAGCTAAGCGCATAATTCCTTCGTTCGTTTCCATTGCATATTCGCGTGTAGCCGCATCATCACCGTAGTAATCTCTTGAGGGTGTCAAAGCTTTCATAGCTACTAAACGAAACCGCTGCTGTCCACGCAGTCGACGATCTTCGTCCGTAGCTGTCATTCGAGCTTGAGTATTTCCATTGTGTGTCGGTATTGATGATTCCTGGAGAGAAGTTGAGTTAGACTTACCGTCATCAAGCCAACCCGGGCAGCCTAGATAGTAGCTTGTGTCACTGAGTAGCGAGGCTACATCGCCGTCGCCACCACTATCAGCTGTCTGATCTGAGCCCTCACCAACTCCAGAATTGGCATGAGGACGGCGAGGGTCACACATGGGAGGTGCTAGAACTGCAGGGTCAACACGGAGCCAGAAATCGTCTGTGGCGGTGACTTCGTCGTAGCGTGACGGGTTTCGGAAGTCCACCTGAGTTGCGACTACATTAGCAACTCGACTCTAACTCACTCTCAATGAATACATAAGAAAACGCACAATGGTAAATGTCATGTGCGGTCCAGCGGAAAGGTCTCGAGCGGAATGACTACGGCCATCAGGCCCAATAGCGAGCGGTAAGTCGGAACTCGATGATAGTAGACAGATTTTATCACCGAAATGGATCGGTGTCTTGCTCGATGTATTACCTTCCTGCAGATCGGCACTCCTACAGAAAAAAAAAATAATTGAGCCAAAAAGAAAATTTCAGCTGGAACGGCAAATACAGAGGTTAAAGTGGTGTAGAAACTCACGGGTGGACTCGTTTCTGCTTGGTGACGTTCACATCATCGCTCTTAAATTGCTGGAAGGCCAGGTGCGCGTTCTTTATGTCTCCGTAAGCAGGAGGCGGAGGCGGGGCAAGCGTCTTGGCCTGTTCAAAAGCACGCCCTCCGCGAAGCAGTGCCATCGCTCGCAGCAGTTTTGCTCCCAGCGACTCTCGCACAGCCGGAGCTTCCTCCGCGTTCTCCATTTCCTTTAACGCTGCAGCACAAACTGTAGCCAACTTCTTTAGCAGGTCATCCTTTGGAACGATTGCAGCTCGGCGATTTTGCAGGTGCATGGTCTCCTCTCTGTAGATTTTGGTGGCCATGAAGCTCTGATACTGCTCGAAGGAGGTTGTGGCCTCGGGAAGCTGCACAACGGATTTGGCAAGTCTAGGGAGTGCTCCACGTCGTTGGCGAGCTTGATGTCCTTCGTCTGATACTTGAAAATGTAGACTTTTACGTGCTTGGCGCTTAGGTACGATCACTAGTGTTGGGGCTGGAGGCAGCACCGGCAGTGAAGTCGACGAGCTCAGTAGAGATGGAGCGTGCAACTGTTGCTGGTGCAGCACATGGAGCAAACTACTACCCGCTCGTACTTGCACGACGCGCTCGCGGCTGCGCTCCACAAGGTCGTGAAGGAGTTCTCGCTGCGCCATATCGGCAACCTATTGATGTTGATGTAGCCATTCAGCTTCAAGGTCGAGGACGTGATCATCACAAAGTACGATTTTATAAACATCTCGAAAAAAATATAAATCCATTGACAGAGATTTTTTTTTAGAAAAATGAAGATGCCCTCGATCTTCCGGCGGATGCTTGAAGGCGACACCTTGCCATAGAATATACTGGAGCTACGATTCGTTACTCTCTTACTTGCATGCATCCACCGATCGTCTGCTGTCTGTGCGGCGCTTGAGGCCAGAAATTTACTTACACTGAACCTTCCACGACGCTTGTCTTCTTCTCCTCCTCAGCGTCTTCCGTAAGTACCGTCACGCCAGCCTCGACATCCTCATCACTGTCTGAGTCGTTGTCCGACTCCGACTCGGCGTCTTCGTCCACCTCGGCCTCAGCCTCAGCGTCAGCGGCAGCGTCCTCTGCCAGAACAGACTTCTCGGACGCGCGCTTGCGGCTCTTGGCGATGGCTACACCAGCGATACCGACGATACCCACAGCGGCACCGATCAAGCCGCCCAGGACGGCAGGCTTACTGCCGTTCTCCTCGATCCACTCCTTGGCCTCAGCAGCGTATGACACAGTCTCCTCCTTGGTCTCAGTGGCAGCCGTCTCCTCCTTTTTCTGCTCCTCCTTGGGGGCCTCCTCCTTCTTCTGCTCGGGCTGAGCCTCGCTCTTAACGTGCTCCTTGGCACCCTTGATGATATCCAGGTCCACATTGCCCTTGTGCACACGCAGGTGAATCGACTTGGCTCCCTCGGGAACTTCGATGATCTCGTCCACAACCTCGTCATCCTCGAACTCGAGCTCCTGGCTATAGTCCTCGTCGTCATCCAGATCCACGTCCACGGATCCGTCCGTGAACTCGATTTCCGCGTCCATCTGGCCACTCCCGTCTAGACTGGCGTCGGCCGAGAAGTCCATATCACCCGACGACGACATGTCGAGTGTCTGGTCGCCCTCTCCACTGTACTCCAGTTCCTCACCGTCGTCCAGGTCGACGTCCATGTCGGTTGGGCCGTCCACGTCCATGTCCAGATCCTGCGAACTCGAAATGTCCATCTCCTCCGAGCCCTGCAGCTCCACGTCGGCCGAGTCGGAGCCATCCAGGTCGTACGAGTCATATGAGTCGTAGGAGTCGGACGAGCCACTGTCCTCCTGCTGCACGGGAGCGCCCTTGGGCTGCTTCACCACCTTGGGTGCGTACTGGGTAGTATGGTGGATACCAGCCAGCCCGCGGCGCGGGTGCGTGCGGAGAGCCGAGCTCTGTGCCACCTCCGAAGTGGCGAACGTCGACACGCAGAGCGCCAGCGCCAGGGTCTTCTTCACAGACAGCACCATGATCTTTAGTAGCTGATAACCAACGCGACGGATAGCACGCAATTCCTATAGTGAGCCGCCGGCTAGAGTCAAGACGAAGAAAAATCAGGTTTCAGTGAACCCACGGGTTTCTATAGAATCATTTGTCTACTGTATGGATCGGATTGCACAGGGAACGTTACAGAATCCTATTTGCGCTTGCGCACCCTAACATAATTTCCGTACTCACTATTACCAGTAATAGAGTTTGGAGGGTGATCTTTACTTTTTTCATTATTGAATCAGCGTCCAGCAAATCCTTTCTATATTGAAATGTATGCATTCTTGGGTTGGGTGTTGGGGTACAGTGAACAGGATCTGGTACTATCCCGACCACTCAGTTCATCCAAATCAGCGAAAAGGTTCAACCCGCAAGAAAGATATCACGGTCTCGTGACCGCCCAGGGCAGTCAATAGTCAATGCACTTCATTGTCTGTACACTGCTCAAATGCTACAACTTGGAGCATATACGGTTAACACGTTTATTAGCCGTTGGCATTATTCAGGTGTTGGCTGTGGATTTCATGCAACGATTCGTAGCGTATAGAGGAGGCCGCGCTTGACAATTGATGGCGGAGGATAAGTATCCTCCTGATACTAGCCCCATCAAAAAAAGCCTGATTTGGCTGGCATTGCGTAGGTGAGCTCATTTCCGATGCCTGCACTACTTCTCACTATTACGATAAGTGCTCAGAAAGGAAAAATCGTGCGAAGTCGATGGCAGCAAGGAGCATTCATAGCCTCTGGTGTCGGATGCAGCGATCTAGGTAAATTGGGTACGATTTCCAACGCTCATACAGTACAGCCTTCAAATCGTCCAACTTGGACTCTGCAGTGCGTCAATATCAAAAACATTGGGTCGTCTACATTGGATTATCAAATTTAAAACTTAAAAAAAACAACGACAGTAAACAACAAAAATTTGAAATTAATAGGGTTAAAATAACGGATGACATCATAGCAATTTTTAACCAATTAAATCGTTATAATGTTTTAATTTGATCCAATGATTAGCCCGGATTGCACTGATATGCCAAACAGATCTGACCTAGCCGCTCGATTGATTTTTGGCTCAACATGCAACAGCGTCCCCGCCGGCAGCAGCACTGGTGTATACAAATATGTTGCACCATAATATATACGAGTTTGTATATTTTGGGCTGAAGGAGTATGATAGGTTATTAAGTACAGATTAGATGGTTTGATTGGCTAATAACAGCACCAGTCACTGCCAATCAAAGGAAAGGGGCCAGTGTGCCCATCAAATAGGCAAAGCCGAGGGATGTAGCGGAAGAGATGGCTTGAGACTATCTCACTCTCCAAACTGACGGCAAACACAACAACCTACAACACTCAACATTTCAAATACTATGACTGTTGATGCTAAGTCGTGCGGCGGCCTCGAAAAGGTTACCAGAAAATCCTATACAATGTGGAAGGACAAGCCCTAGACGCATGTCAACCAGTTGGACCATGAGCACAAAAGAAAATGCTAAAGAGGCAATCAGAAGCGAAGGTGCAATTTCTGCGGAGCAACCCCGAAATGTCGCCGTGGCCGACCGCCGAGACGAATGAGGATGAGTCGCCCGCAATATGATGGGGCGTAGTGCACTGGACACAGGTAGGGGGGGGGGGGCTCCAGAACCTGTTAAATCAGGTTCTACCGAACTTCTTTCTGTCCACTTTGCCGGATGTGGTGTCCTCTAACGACCCATTCGGCTGCTAGATAAGAACTTCGACCAGGGAGATGCAGCATGCCTCATTGAGTTGACGAGGGCCTGGTCTAAGTTGACACACAAGGCTTGGCGCGAATTAAGAACACTCTTCGGGTAACATAAGAAAGTAAATAGCGAGATCAACAGAAAACACGCAAACTAATGGGCCAGGACATGGCGACAGAGCCATGTCTCTGTGTTGAGGTCCTATTTCAACTGCCCAGCGCGTTTTGGGCGTCCTTAATTTCCATGAAGAAGGAGGATTTTACCGTGGACAAGGTCGAGGGTGCTGAGACCCTTCTGGAGGCGTGCGTCAATGACGCGAATATGGATGACATTGAGAGTTTGGACCCAGCGCATCATGCATGCTTTGAGGACATTGGCAGCTCTGTACAGACGTCAGTCGTGTTCCCTCGAAGTATGGAAGGGATTGAAGAAGAGGTACGTGAACAACACGGCTCTTATTTAAGGGTTTTAGAAGGGTAACCCTAACCAATGATATGTGGGTGGTGGATACGTGGGCAGGCCAACCTATACTACCGGACCGAGACTGGTTTACAGGGAGCTTACATCCTGGACAACACCATGTCTTTGCATACGGTAACCGTTTTGCATAGCACTCTTAAGGGATCAAGAAAGCTAAACGCATTGAGCCCTAGTGGAAATTACAGTGCTTTAACGTTAAGGGATGTATCATTCGATAGTAAGTGTGATAGCAATGTATTAAGTGCAAACTATCTCGCTAAGCAAGGTTACGGGTATTTTCAGTCAAAGAAAGGAAATTCTTGTTCTCTTGAGGAGAAAGCTTTAAACTGCTATTTATGGCTGTGGCAATTGTTTATTACTTGCAAAGTGTAAGTTAAAAAAAAAAAAACGACTGCACAAACTAGATAATGAGAAGCCTGTCTTTACGTTGAAGATATTTCTAATCGACTGATATGGTGAGATTGGGGAAAACGCTGCAAGCAAATGTGACTTGGTGTAGGGAGAATGAAATTTCGCAGCTACCCGAGGCGTGTTCTGGGCTGGGGATTTAGTCATTCGTGATCCGGCTAAACGTATCCCTAGCTTGATTCAAATGAAACAATTGAAAGATTGTCGATCCCTACTATCTCGTATGTTGGGAGCTTATGAGCAGCTGGGGCCATTTCAACCAAGATTGGATGGTACCCGCCCTCTTTGATTTCAGGAAGCACAAGGTCTTTTCAAAAAAAAATTGGTTTAGCTTTCATTCTTGGCTCGAATATTCACCGACCACAGATGCGGCACATTGTTTGTGCTGTTATCTCTCTCGGGAAGTGATGACCATGAAAAACGAAATATCTCGATACAGTCATGCGGGTTTCGCAACTGGAAGAAGGCAACTTCAAAGACCGGCGAAACATGTAGGAGTTTGTTGCTCAAAACATCGGATGGCGGAAATTGCGCTTCTCGACCTACTTTCAACTTCCGGTGATGTTTCTATTGCACTAAAGCGACAATTAGTTAGTAAACCCGAGCAAAATCGTCGACGCATCGTCGTTATTTTGGATCTTTGTATCTTTTTAGCACGTCAAGGAATGCCTTTCAGAGGTCACGAAGAGCACAATGATTCTCATAACAAAGACAACTTTCTCGAAATGGTCAACTTCGTAGAGGAGCATTCTCCAAGCTTTTCCGAAGGAATGATGGCTGCAAGCTATAATGCAAAAGACATACATCTCCAAGTGTCCAGCGTGAGCTGATACAATGCGCTTCAGACGTCATCCGAACACATATTATATTGAACGAGCTTGGGGATGGTTTTTCTTTCGGTGTTAGTAGACGAGGCAACATGCAAATCACAATCAGAGCATAAGTATATCGTTTTTAGATTTGTTTCGTGTACGACTGGTAAATCATGGAGCGAGTTTTGGGTACTGTTCGTTCAGGACACTGAAGCAAGAACTTTATTCGATAATTTGACTGCAAAGCTGGCATCTTGGGGATTACAATTAACCCCTTCAACCCGGTAGCTGTATAAGCTGCGTTAGGGGTCGGGAAGTTGCCCCGGTTATGGGGGCTTATGCTGTATATACAGCATAAGCAAATATAAGCTTGCTTTCACTATGGTCGTGGAGTTTGCACATCCTTCGGTATACAAATTTTTATATAACGGTTTGAAGCAAGAAAAGATCCGAATCGCCTTTCTTCAGTGGGTAGGGGTTGAAGTACCACTCTCCATATTCTCGATATTTGAGTATGTACTTTGACAGTTTGGAGCAATCATTTAAATAAAATATCGACTATTAAAGGTAACTTTCGCGCCAAATCACTCGGACCAGTCAGTTGGGATTTTTCGCCGAGAGAAGCAAAGCGATGGTTGGGACGCGCGGTAGCGCGCCGCATGAGGATGTCGCAGCGCTGCCGGAAGCTGAGCGCGGCACGAAGCACTTCCGGGTCATATGGCCTGAATTCAAGAAGCTAGGATGGACCTCCAAGCCGCCCCCTTCTCGCTGGATTGAAACGCGATGGAAGTACATCTTGCCTGGGGGTAATGCTAACGGCACTGTTGGGATCGACTACGTCCTCGGAGAGCAAGCTGTGGTGGACCACGCTACAGAAAGTAAGGCATTGGTATATGTTAATGTGTTATCTCAGTTCTTATGACATGTTTCGCATGTACAGTGGTCCGGCAGCAAGCTATTGACCGAGGCGCCACAGCAGCTACCGAAGCCGCCAAAAAAACTCCAGCAGAACGCCCTTCGAGATCGTCGCCCAAGTCACCCGTGCGGACGACTGGATCCCAGTCTACAACTTCTGATACCCCTGCAGGTAAGCGTCCGTTTGGTTTCAATTCACCGAGCATATACTAATCTGTATGAGTTAACATGTATATCACGCTTTGTTATGCTGTATGGTATAGATACGACTCCAAGTGTGCCTATTGCTCGTGCTTCCGAGGCATGTACACAACAAGCCCATACGCCGCCAACTTCCCAGTCTCCAGACGGTATGTTGTACTCATATACTTTTCCATATTCAGTCTGAAGTTCTGCTAATGTGTATAATATATGCTGTATTCTGCAGAATCTAACGTACACCAATCTTCTACCACTGCTACCACTACCGAGGTGGCACTCACGAAGACGACGATGAAAAAGAAGAAAAGAAATCCCACGAGCGCGGGTGCCAAGGAACCGGAGATAGCAGATTCATTAGTTTGCGACGAGGAAAGCAAAGCTAGTCCAGACATCACTGAACGTACGTTAACCTGTTTATACTGTATATACATGATATGACTAACCTGTATCGTATGCTGTATTTGTATGCATTAGTGATTGATTTATCCGGAAATGATGCGGATGATGCGAATACGTATCACGACGACGAGCGCAACTACCAAGTACTGGATTCGGGTGATGAATCCGAGGAAGGTGACCTGAATGATCTGGACAAGAGTGACTCCGAAGCATCTGTGTCGGACACTATTGATGAGGATGATGACGATGTCTTCTCAACCGAAGAACGCCACTTTGCAAATCATTTTTTGGAAAAAATGGGTGGTGAAGACAAGGTTCTTGCTGGTGAAATTCTCGGTCCTGCCTTGAAGGAAGTAGCAACTACTGGATGGCATGAATGGGAAAGTCCTGACGTGGAAGAATTTCTACAGACGCCGTACACTCCGGTTTCAGATGGTGATGTATATCCTGATCTCCTGAAAGCTCAACACGGATCCACCGAAGCGGCGCTCAATAGGGGTGGTTCACCAATAGCTCTATTTTTCCTCTTCATGCCGGTGTCGATGTGGCCGCATATCTCCGAGTGCAGTAATTTCTACATGCATGAGCAGCTTGACAAGAGGGTGGACGAGTATTTTCAAAAAAAAGGAAGCTTTGGAACGCCGCGCCAGGGCAGCGGGGAAAGTTGTGACGCCAACCAAGAAGACGAAGACTCGCCGTGATGTACGGTAAGATTTTCTGTCGGTGAAGCCCGTTTTACCTCATGAAATCTGCGTGTACATTGGACTTTTCGTCGCTTGGACGGTCATGCCCAATCGCGAGAAATTAGCAAACCATTGGCGGCAAGATGACGTCGGTGCAATTTCAAGGGGAATTTTTGGGCAATTCTTGGCTCGAGACTGATTTCTTGACATCAGTCGAAACCTTCACTTCAACAGCAACCAAGACCCACGTGCCAAGACTGATCGTGCTTGGAAAATCCGATCTGTAGTGAACATTTTGCAGCAGACTTTCGTGAATTCATACATACCTCCTGCGGAATTATCTTTTGATGAAGCCATGCTTCCGTCTCGGTCGTCCTACAACCGTACTCGAATGTATATGAAAGACAAGCCGCACAAGTGGGGGACAAAGCTTTTTATGCTTTGCTGTGCGCGCTCTGCTTATTGCATTCGGTAAGAGTGCCATTGTCATGTGCTGTATTATCTAGGTTACTTATACTGTATATACAACTTCTTGATTTTGATAGATTTGAAGTTTACTGTGGGCAAAAGCAACACATTGCGGAGTCTGGCGTTGTGGACATGAAATCGGGTCCTGCTGCGGTTGTGCGCAGCTTGAAGGCGGTGTTTGGTGACAAGCCTGCTGGCAAGGCCATGCGACTCGTAGTGGTTGATCGCTTTTACACCTCTATCGTTCTGGCGGTGCAGTTACTGATCATGGGTTTCTATACAATTGGCACTATAATGACGAGCCGCCGAGGATTTTGCAAGGCCGTGGTGTGGTGACGAAGAAGAAAACAAGACCCAAGAATATTCCACGCGGCTCTGTCACGTTTGCGCGCTCTAAACACGTGAACAACATGGCTGCTATTTGCTGGTGGGATAGCAAGCCTGTTCATTTTCTATCAGTCGGTGGAAATCTTTCGCTGGATAGAGTGGCTCGGAGAGAGCAGACTGGTGAACAGAACGAGATTGCCTGCCCGAAGGTGGTCAAGGACTATCATCGCTTCATGGGTGGAGTTGACGTTCATGATCAACTCCGCCTCCAACGTTACTTTGTCCAGAGATCGATCACTTACCGCAAGTACTACAAGTCGTTGTTCCTGGGGCTTGTCGATCTGGCCATCACGAACGGGTTCATTGTGCATCGCGCGTACTGCAAGATGAAGAAGACGAAGGCGATGACGCTTGTACAGTACATGTGTAAACTGCATCAGCAGCTTATTGGTCTCAGTGAGGACGACATGTACGAAGAAAACACCTTCCTACCTGGTAAGTCTCTATGACGTATCTCTTACAATGTATATACAGTGAAGCTAACCTGAATATACAGATGAAGACATACCCGTGGAAGAGGAAGTCTTTCCCGACACAGAGAGTGCCAACCACAGCCCAAAGCAGAACGACGACTGGCGCGACCATTCGGGACAGCGGAAGAGGGTACAGAAGAACTGCAAGGTGTGTGCCATGAGAACGGAAGGCAAGCGAGGGGCCACTACAACCTACTTCTGCGACAACTGTGACTTTGTGGGGCCGATTTACTTGTGCGTCAAGCCGAAGTGGCTGGAGTCTAGCAAAATGATGAGTTGCTGGGATATTTGGCACAAGATGTACAAGAACGGTAAAGAGATTCCAGAGGCCATGAAGACCAAGATCCGCGTGCGTGCTCCAAGGACGGCGGGTTCTCCAGGGAAGTCGCCAGCCAAGCGTCGATGCGTAGGCTCTGCCGAATCGGAAGACTCTGAAGACTCCGATGCTTCTGAAGATTCCAAGTAGGTTTGAGTAGTAATGCATTGGTGAATGAACTTCGTGTTTCGTCTTTGAGCTATACGTTTTGCTTATGAAAGAAGCTTTCAAAAGAGACACCTGTCATCTGTGGGGAGTGGCCTGTTCAAAGAGCTCAATCGCTCACACTTAGTTGATGACAAGCAGTAGCCAGGCCATCCAAGACCTTGCTAGGTCTGATTGGCTAGATACGTATATCGTCATCATTGATTGCTCAATGGACGATTTATCTTTACTTGCGCAGAGTATAGCTATATCAGTAGCCTATCTAATGCACGCTTTTTCGAGTTTTAGAGATAAATTTCTCTACAGATTCGCGGCCCTCGCACCAGCCGACTGGTAAGAGGCTTGGTCCATGCAACATAATCGGTCGAGTGGGCAACACACCGTTTTTAGCACAGCTGTAACAGCGTGCATAGCTCATGTGTCGCTGTAGTTATACCGGCTAGAGGCTCCTAATGCACGGGTGTATATACAGCAAAAGCAACAACCAACCCGTACTGGTACGGACTCTCGCACGTCCCATCCGACTCCGTTCCCTTAGGGTATACTGAAACCCATATAAAAGTACCATGTATATACAGCGTAGGCTAGAAAAAGGCAACAAAAATCTTTCGGGTTGAAGGGGTTAAGTAGATGCCGTGGGCAGGGTTACAATGGTGATGCCAATATGTCCGGCGAATACAGTGGACTTCAAAAGCGTATTCGATCAATATGTCCTTACGCTTATTAAATTCACTGTTTTGCGCATCGACTACATCTCGTATTAGTTGCAGTTTCACAAAAAAAGATTGTCGGTCGCAAATTGTTTTGAAATTGTTCAGAATATTCACACGACGTGCGGAGCTTCCAGCAAACGGAATACACAGTTACGTCAAGAAGCTCTCAACGAGAAAAAACAATTAATTGAATCTGGTTTACTTGAGACAGGATCAGGGCTCAACCAGCAACCTACAACAGAATCGCTAAGCCAAACAAGATGGAACTGCCGGGTATGAGCATTAATACGCATTCAAGAATTATGGCTCCCAAATACGAACGTTTTAGAGAATGTTGCGGAGGATGGTGCGGACCCAAAACAAAAGCAAAAGCTTCGGGTATTTTAGACAAGATGTGGACTTTTGATTTCATATTTTAACTCGAGTCTCCCACCACAGTTCTGCAAAAAATCTAATTTCACGTCGATGCATCTTCAACGTAGAGAAATAGATTTAACAACCGCTGCCACTCTGGTAGGACAATTTTTCGGCGAGTTGTTACAGATGCGTGACTATACTCTAGACAAATCTGACGACAGTCGTTTTGATATTGTTTGGGATCGAGTTGAAAAGTTTTGCCGCGAAATCGTGGTGTACCGATTCCAAATAAATACGATGAGCGGAAAAGGCGTGGGCAGCGATGCCGTGGTCGTGGTCGTTTAGATTTTCCTGGTGCAGATTTGACTCGTACGAGCAATTCGATAACAAATCAGCAATACTACGAAACTGACGTGTACGATACAATTGTAAACAGCATAAGTGCTGAGTTAGAATCCCGGTTTGGGGTGGGAATGGTGCATTTAATAGAACTCTGTGGAGATGTAAGTCCGCGGCTACATTTCAAAAAGTGGAACGTCAAAAATATTGTGGATATTGCAACTTCATATTATCATGACGACTTCGCACGCCAGGCTGCTCAGTTACGCGACCAAGCACGACGATTTGGTCATCTTGCGAAAAATGATAATCGAGTTTTTGAGTTGGCCTCAACTGAAGACCTTAGTATTGTAATGTTCGACAACGACATAATTCGGACCTTCCCAGTTCCCTACCGTTTGGTTACGCTTGTTTGTGTTTTGCTGGTATCAACGGCACAAACTGAGCGTTCCTTTTCACCAATGAAAATAATCAAAACTTGACTCCGAACAACCAAGGGGGATGCGCGGATGGGTGATCTAATGCTTTAAACTATTGAACGTGATTTGTCGAAATTTATTGACACGAACGCAGTGCTGGATGCGTTTAATTTCATGACAGATCGTCGGATTGCTCTGTAGTTGATTTAAAAAATACATTTTTCCTTACAATTTTTTTGCTAAAAAAACAAGCATGCCTCACCATATTTTAGGGCCTAGATCCGCCGCTGTATGCTCATATCCCTAATACTAAACGAAAGGAACTAAAATCGAGTGATAGAGCAGGTGAGCGCAAGCTTTTGGGGGTTTCGCCCAAATATAGAGGGTATCATCTTCTAGATGTGAACGCAAATAAGTATCTTAAAGCTCGACATGTAAAAACTTAACTCGACTGGTAAGAAACGGTGATAAAACGATCATTTCCAAATGGTAATTTTGTACTAATTTAGAAGAAGAAAGGGCAATTCAGAATCTATGAAATGAGTCTAGATGCGATGTTGAAGACATAAATTCAGAAATTGTCACTCGACCACCGAAATCCCAAGCGGTGGGAGTACAACAAGGGGTCGGTAGTGACAAGCGTCGATCAAAACGACAAAGACATCTAATGTGAGACTAAAAGACTATATCCCACAGCAGTTACGGCTGACAAACCTAGATTTCAGATTCCAAAATCTTTAGAGGAAGCACTCGCTAGCCCACATGCAAAGCTGTGGGAGTGGGTATAGAGCAGTGCTGCGAAATAATAATTTCATGTTTTTATTAATTTTCATGGCAGCGGTCCATTTCCCTGAAGGATGGTTCCCATTCATTGAAGAAAATGGGACTCTTGTTTTCACTATGATTGTGGTCCACATCAGCAATAGTTGACCATGGCGCACTCGTGCACTCACTACCTTCATGATGTGTGGAGCTCTCGACCGAACAAGCTTGATAGAAACAACTACGAGGTCTCTTCGGGCTGCTGTCTGGCCTTGTAGAGCTTCAACCGCGCAGCGAAGGTCACTACCGAATTATACCTGGATGTTTCGTACTCACGCAGTATCAGTTAGAAGGCTCAGTGAAAACACAAGTGTCATTTTGAATTTTGACAAGCGTCGCCCAGCCACCAGCACAACCTGACTGCCATTCAAATCTACCAGCGACACCAACATGGATACGGAAGTGTGTGACATTGACAATCCGACAAACAGGCAGTTGGTGTCGACGATCTTCTTCCCAACAAGTGTGGATCGATGGCGATGCCGCATCTGCGCCAAACAGCGCGTCCAAGTGAGCGGGAAGAGCTACACAAACTTGATCGACCATCTGCAGCGACCGC